TCTTCAATACTACGGAATACTGCAAACCTTTATCCGCCTCATTCAACAACTATATGAAGATGCCACATGCCAAGTAATTCACAATGGGAAGCTCAGTGATGCTTTTGAAGTGAAGACAAGAGTGAAACAAGGCTGCTGCCTACTATCCCCCATGATATTCCTTATTGTGGTGGACTGGATCATGCAGCAAACAGTGGGGAGTGAGAAGAGGGGGATACGCTGGACCGAGGAATAGATCCTAGAAGATTTAGATTTCACCGCCGATGATGATTTATGTCTAGTGTCACACAAACTTGATGATCTACAGGCGAAAACTAACAAGTTGGCAGAAGAGGCAGGGCAGCGAGGACGGGACTTCAAGTGAAGATAGAGAAGACAGAAGTGATGAAGATACCCAACCAACAACAACAAACTCCAATCACCGTCAACGGGAGAAATTCAAAGGAAGTAGCCTCCTTCACCTATCTAGGAAGCACTATTTCAACTACAGGAGGCACTGACGAGGATGTCAAACTCAGAATCGGAAAAGTAAGACAGGCGTTTATTTGCCTGAAACCAGTATGGAGATCTTCTACACTCAGCATGTGGAACAAGATCCGGATTTCCAACACCAACGTCAAATCAGTGCTTTTGTATAGTTCAGAGACTTGGCGCGTTATGAAAGGCATTTCCAATAAACTACAGACATTCATCAACAACTGCCTACGCTGGCTCGTTACTGAAGATCAGATGGCCAGAAAGAATAAGCAACAAGGAACTCTGGCCGGACAATGAAACAATCAAGAACCTATCGCTCAATAAATATGCAGAAGGAAGTGGAGATGGATTGGGCATACACTGAGAAGACCGACTGGAGACATCACGCGTCAGACCAGGCCCTCGAGTGGAACCCAGATGGGAAGCAACGAGTTGGGCGTCCGAGTTGAGGGTGACATGGAGGAGATCGTGCGAGGAGGCAATGAGAGGTTGTGGGCTGTCATGGAGCCAGGTTCAAAAGGTTTCAGAGAACAGAGGTCACTGGAGACGTGCTACTGAAGCCCTATGTTCCATTAGGAACCGAAGGGACAAATAATATAATAATGACTACATTAAAGAGAAATTACCAAGTTGCTTATTTTAATGATCAAACTTTTATGACCAAATGTGCTGACCTGTGTTCAGTTTACAGACCATAAAGTCATATCCCTTTACAATCGGAGAAACTGAGTGGTACTGAATATAAAGTGCAGCTAATTACTTTTGCTTTTTAGCAGGTAAGATATAATCAAATATGATTGAGTTATCATGTGTGTGTCGATATCAGCTACGTAAGTATTGAAAATGAAGGAGTAGTGACTGATTAGCATGGTCAAGCTAGTGTTAACTATGAGCTACAAGGTGAATTAATTACAGCTACAAATCGTTAATAACTGGATATCGAGAAAATACCTTAACAGTTGAGTACTTGTTACGCTGCTTGTAGGTTATACTCCAGGTTCAAGGTTAGAATTATTCTCTACTTCTCAATATTCAGTAGTCATTAGGCCAAACAACAGATTTAGCTTCCACGCAAATGAGAGACTGCCGAGGAGTCCCATACTAGGACGAAACGGCTATCCAGTGCTCCCGGATTTTCAACGGTTCCTTAACTGATGTCAGTCTATGATGAATACTACTTCTAAATTGAAAATCCTCATTCATCTCAAAAAATACAAGACTGTGATACTCGTTAAAACTGTACATTACACGCATCTTCAATGGAGTACGGATGTTATACGAAACAAAACGACCCATACTGTGGTAAAAATGAACTCGGAACCAGGTTTGACTCAGGCGATCTTTTGATGCCTGGTTCCTTCTCGACTAGTTCATCATCTAGACCATAATGACAGCCAAATCTAGCTTCTCATTGCATCAGTGTGTATGGCAATTATTTCCTGAATAAAAGAGGTGCCCATGCTATAGCTTGCCACCTCCAACTGCTGCTTTGTTAGACCAAATTGATCAGTTAGTGTTGGTAAGAATGAACTTCACAGTTATATCACTTTCGTCCGGCTCTGACTGTGTTGAAGTAATACAAACGATATTCACACGTCAACCAGCATTATTTTCTGTTGCAGCGTATAATTAAAATCATTTGAATATCAAGCATGTCAGTTTAGGTAGGTCTCCTAGTGAGAACTCTCTTTGAGCTTTTCAGTTTCCAGAAGTAGAGCTCTAAATATTGATTTGATGACCACCACTGGTAAAACCTACAGAAATGAGTTTGCCAGGCAATAAAACCCAGAAAAATGATGGATAAGCAGGTTTACTAAATAAAACTTAAATAATCCCAATGTATCGTAAAAATGTAAAAGACTCAAGATGAAAAACTCGCAGCGATATGATTCTCGAAAGCTTTAAATTCTCGTTCAACTTACTAATTAGCTTGGAAATTTAGTGGCATAAAATGTCAATATAGCATTCAAGTAAAAAAAAACTGAGTAGCTTGTGACCAAGGAAATAATATGGAAATGGAAGCCATCTAGGAAACGTAGAAAAATCTATGACTACTATCCTTCAGGAAGTGACATCATTTGAAGAACCAGTGAAAACCTGAGGGGATTAGACGACAGTTCGCACCCATAATCCAGTCAAAGCAGAACTTGGGACATTCACCCCTGACTGCAAAACTTTCCTATTAAGCCATTAGGTTGGATTCGAATGGTTCACAGTTCACCACTGCCACCAATTCACGACATAATGCGACGATAATCCAAAGCTGTAAGTTCTCATCCGCTTCAGTTTTTGGTTTGGTTGACCCTATAAGTCACGGCTTCTCATTAGAACTTCGGGATATTTAATTCTACCTGAAAAAACCAATCTTTACAAACCACAAACTAAATAAAAATATCTGATTACGTGAATAAGTAGGTATGAGTTGACGTCAAGGAATGAAGAATACGTAAGAAAGTGAATTAGCAGGTGTTGATATTTTTACCAATAAATGCGCACATTACTCATATTTAAGTATCATTATACAAGTGAAAAGGATATCGGCGAGAACAAATTTTATACTCTGAATTCTTATTCCTGCTTACTAAAGTGAGTAACTGTAAAGCAATCATCATGATCAGATTTTTTCATCATATCACAGGGACTTAGACGTCAGACAGCCATTTCAGTCATATGGGAATAAACTTGTCAACGGTGTATAGGGATTAGTTCAACTAAATCTGGTTTGCTGACTGATAAAAGAGTTGCATACCGAGGACATTACCAGACCACATAACTTACATTGCGATTCCTTAAGTTCATTTAATTTTGTGACTACGAGTGTCCAAATCAAAAGTAAAATACATTTTATAAAACGTCTCTCATTTATATATGAATAACTTTGAAATGATACAGAAAAAAGCTTTTCAAGTTAATACATATTAAATTTTATGGAGCTTGAAATATGATATGAATTCCCCGCGGGAAAAAGAAACTTTTTTTGACTTCATGTTAACCATAATTGTACCTACATGTAGAAGCAACAATCTAGGTAAACAGGGATAAACATGCAAACTTTCGACTTAGAAGTGCATCATAAATCAAAATTTCGGGATTCGAAATACTTTATTTAGACGATAATGGGGACCTTAGTGTTATTGCTTGTATTACACCGTCATTGATTGGACCGAAATGATCAGTCTGTGTTGGCATATGGGCTCCTGTGCGGATGCCTCGATATTGCCTGTGTTCTTAACTATGTAGTAATGATGGATAGTGGTTGGCAGTCCCAGTGGAATGCAAGTACATCTAGCTAGCGAGTCCCAACTAGGGCGAAATGAGCATCATGGATTCCACTGCTAGCCACAATTCATCATTGCAATCATGGGAACCAGCTGGAGAATGAAATACCACAGTAGATGTTTCTGCAAACCATAAAAGAAGAACGAACATCACCCTTTGTAATTATCTGTTTACTTACTTATTTTGCCTCTCAAAAAACGCAATGGTTATTTGACGACTAGACACACAAAGGTTTTCCAAAAAAAGTCTCAATGAGAGACTGCAGAAAGGTTAGTAAGAGCTCTGTCATTAAACACTGAATTTATAAATGCATATAAATTGAATAATTGCGTGTTTGCGTTGAAGCTGTACAAAATTTTAGAATGATTTTCTCCTGAAACAGTTTTTACTTCCCAGCTGTTCATCCGCCTAAATGCCACCTATTTGAAATATTGTACTGCTCAATGTGCAAATACATATAGAAGAAAATATATCGTTTTCTCTAAAGAATGACATTACAACTGTAGAATACAGCTGAAACGGAATGTGAAAATGGGTGTAAGGCTTGTAGGATGATGAAGCAGGAATGGATCGACTTGAGTAGTAACTATTTTGTTACTTACGGTTTTCTGATACTGATATTTTGTGTCTCTAAACCTCATCTACAATGATTGAGGCTGCTTATATGGTTTGAATTTATGGTCAGAGAATTTGAGAGCTGATGTTATGGTTCAGTTTGATACATCAGAACTTCTCCCATTTCCATTTAGACAAAATCGGACGCTTGGGCTCAGTGTAACTCAACATGAACAATGAGTATGCTAACTTTAAGATAAATTACCAATTTTAAAATAATACAGTGGGTTATTCAATACATAATGGTGAAGTTTGAAGAATTAAATGACCACATGCTTCTAACATTCTCATGTTTTTGCGATTTATCGGTCATACTTACCACTTGTTTATAAAAGTTAATAGTAATGACGTAGTGAACGTCATCCGCCGCTTATAGGTATTTAGGAAATTGCCCAGTGCTATGAGTAAAATGCAAATTAACAATCATGGGCTTTCTTTATCTTCAGTTAAACTATATGAACCCTTAACCAAGTATTGGAAGTGTACTCTGAGAAGACTACGTTAGCAGTATACTAGGTGCTCTGTTTTTGTGTGTAATGGTTCTACTTAAAAAGAATAATAACTGTGATAACAATTGCTCATTCTTTATTAATTTCATACACTATATTTCTATTTTACTTATTTATCTAGTGTTGAAATCACAAATCAGCGTAATGAATATAAAACAGATGAGCAAGCAAACGGTGACTGTTTAAACAATACAACAATAACAACTATAACAACATCAACTGTTGATGATACACCACGTTTCGCTTACATTCAGGATGTACGCTTTCTTATAACTCAATTAAATGAAGATGAAAATAAAATAGTGGAACGTTATAACTGTTTAATGGTGCAACTGCGAAAAGAAAAGAGACGCTTACGCTTTTTGAATAATCGTTATCAAAGACTGTCTAAACAGCAAAATGTTTTGGAAAACTTTTCAAATAATTTATTATGGAATGTAACAAATGGGATGAAAGATTTTGATGGTGATGATGATGTAGGTGACAGTGACAGTGATCAGACAACTTATAATAATGTTGGAAATCCTACTAGTCAGAGTATTTTAAATAGTATGAATGGTGCACTTTCAAGACAATCAAAGTTTAATCAACATCACCAAAAAGAGAAGCTAAACAGTACCAACAAATCACACCGTACACGTTCTTTAACACGTGTTAAAACTATGATGAGGGAAGGCAAAGATAAAAATGTGAGCAAGTTTTCGAGATTATAATTTATTCCAAATAAAATATATACAGTATTTAAATAAAATTGTTCAGTGATAACTAGAAATGAAGGAAGCCATTTAGAATGATTCATTCAGTGTATACAAATCATTTAAATACACTTCTTGTCTGATGTTCGTATTCCCTTCAAAAAGTAAATATGCTGTTAATATTTTGAGTATCAAACAATTACTCACTGGAATACTGATTTTTGTTAGTTAGCCTCCAAGAATTATTCTTGACCTAACTGAATGTATACGTAAGGAATATTCACTATTATTTGTATTCTGTAGATTTGCGAAACACTTTAGCTCGTTAAAGAAGTTACAGTCTAAATAATTCTATAACATGTAGTGCTTGGTCTCAGTATGCTGATTAATAAAAATCACATAAATGTGAACCTTGGCACTGGGGTACAATTCAATTTCATATCAAATTTGTTTATTTGATTTATAACACACAGTGATCTAGCATTATTTACTTGATGACGTTTCGAACATAAATTATTGCTCATAATCATATCAACGTAATCATACTACTTTCGACATTTGATTTTTATACTTATATCACTTATATGAGTTGTTTTTATTGGTAGTAAAGTTTTTCACATCTCTGGTTTACATGTTGGGTAGTGATTCGATGAACAAAGATTCAGTAATCAATCTCTCTCTCCACCTAATTTTATTGGACTTGGGTGTAGTGGTTTTATCCCACCGTGTTGTGTGATTGTGTGTTATTGCAGGCATTCCAATACTCGAGTGGTTTTTCTAGATTATTGATCCTACTGGAGTCTATCATTTTATATTTAGCTAGATTCCTATGTTCCAATAACTTAAGTGACCCGGACCAGCTGGTCATTACGTGAAATTTGGAAGATTAGATTATTTTAAAGATGGATAGTAAATAGCAGAACATTGGATTAAATTAGATTATTTTTCTCAATTGGTTCTCTCAGATCCTTAAGCCAACAAACCTGAATGAGTTTGTAGGTTTATATTGCATCCGAATTCTGGCTTCGTCGAGGATCCCTTATAGGGTAACATAAGGGAGGCTGTAAACTCCTTTCTACTCATGTTGTTGGTCTTATTTATATTCGTGTTATTGTTATCATTTCATTTCTCATGTGTTCATAAGAATTTTCTAATAAACTGTAGAGGGTAATTACTAACTATTGGTGTTCTTTTATGTGTTTCAGTTCTTTGTTTAGGTCTTTGCATCGACTAGTCAGTTTTCTAGCTCCATCACTTTGACATTTGACTAAACCCGCCTTAAATGACTTTGGATGAGATGAAATGAAGTCTTGATACCAGTTGGAATGTGTCCGTTTCCTGTGAAGGGTAGACGGCAGTATCCAACCACTGTCTGTCCTTCGTTTTATCCTGCAATCCAACATAGGTAATTCTCCTTGTTCATTTTCTACCTCGTAAGTGAATTGGCTTAAGCCTACTACTGAGTTTACATACTTACTATTAATAAAAAAAAGGGAATATGAGGTGACAGAACTATAAAAATCTAATGTCAAAAGTAATGTGATTATATTGATATGATTATGAGCAATAATTTATGCTCAAACATCATCAAGTAAATAATACTGTATTACTGTGTTGTAAATCAAATAGACAAAACTAATATAGAAAAATCACATGAGTTACATTTGATTCACTGTTTGCAAATATTATGATTGTAGCAGAGGATGATTAACAGGCGAACTAGTTTGTCACTGCGAAGTAATGAACATTGGCTTCTGATTTACTACCAGCATTAAAAAAAATATTAAATCCACCTTACAGAGAAGAATTTTCTTTGAATTCGCCATCTTCATTTAGAACACAATAATGTTAATGTATTTTGAATTGTACATTATGTAGTGATTTTAAAGTCCATTTATCTCAACTACATTTTTTGGCTTTGAAAGAGCAAGTAATCCCATGTGGCTTCAGTGGAGTTTTCGAAAAAACAGTCTTTTCAACGAAAATAATGATACCTAATTTGGCTATTTCATAAAAAAAAAATATTTAGTGTTATTACCTGCATTGAAGTTTCAACATTGCTAGATTTCATAGCTAGGGCAAATAATGTTAATTAGGTATCCTTAAAAGTCAGTCAAAATACTAAGTATGTAAATCAGATGAAAGTTAACTCAACAGGTAAGTTGTGTTGGTGCGAAATACTAATCAGCACATACTAAACACGTAGTATATCGGCTAAAACAATGCTAGAGTGTCAAATTATTCACCAGCTGACTACTCTTTTCTCTTATTTAGGTTGACATGAGTTCGGATACGGTGTGTTGCAGGTTAGCTAATATAGTAAATTAAGACAGATGAACGTACCATATGTATATGATAACAGAGTACAATGCTTGATAATTGCAGCTGAAAACAACTTGGCATCCTAATTAGTTGCTTCTTCTGTGAAATTAGTTGGCACTGTTATGCACTGGTAACAAAGAGTGTTATTTCAAGATTACCTTCTTCACTCCTGGCAAAAAGTTAATTACTTTCTTGACAGAAACAGTGGATCTTTATGTAAATCCAAATTTTAGAAATACTGAAAATGAAATCTAGGAAATTAAGTTCAAGTGGAAGTATTAAAGTTCAAGTCTGTAAATTTCCTTGATGGAAAGCAAGACAAATTTCCACTGCAGAATTAATTTCCTATGAACACTGAAAATATATGGAATGTGGTGTATCTGAAATCATCTGACGAATAGCATGTTAAACTTGCCTAAATATTTTTTTCTGTATTCTCTGAATTTCACAAGCTGATGTTGAATGCATTATCAGGTTCTTCAGGAAGAAACATTTCCATCAACAGAAACGAAGCTAGATAACTTTCTATTTGTTTAATGGCGTCTAGCCAAAGAATTCGAAACACTCGTTTGTGTTTACTTAAGACTAGTTGCCTGGATGTATTTACTCTAACATAATGATGCATTCACTGATGCTGGAACTGGTCAGTAATTCCATAAATAACAACAGTGTCGTACTTAAAGCCGCTTATACATACTGGAAGTTTTTGTACAACGATGTTGGTATATGTATGGAAGAATGGGTTATAGGGAAGACAGAAATCAGTCAGTGTAATCCATTATTATTAACAGTAAGAGATTGTTTAATCTGAATATCGCAGATACCATGGCAAAATGAGTTTGCACTACTGAAGAAACTGATGATTAGTCAGATGTCTCAGCCCTCAAACGTTATCAATCGACTTCAGTCATCACTTACACCTGAATGACTCTAACCATGTTATACAAGAAATCAGTTTCAGTCAGAATAACCAAATTGTAACTCCTGTATTCCTAGGTGCAGCGTGTTCTAATATTATTGAGAACATCAGTGCCATTAGGACTGACAAATTATTACAAAGGCTAGTATATTACAATGTCAAGTTATCCAGCTTGATGATCTCAAAGTTAGCTGAACCTTCTATTACCATACACTGAATGTAAGCTAATTCCAAGTTCAGTACTATAGCATATTTTAATCTTAAATGCTACTTTAAGTTCTTATTTAGGAGCATGAACTTTAGAAGCATCCAACACATAAGTTCAGTAGACAATGCTTTAGTGCTTTGCAGCGATATATGCAGAGATCGAGTCCTATTCTGAATACTGACCAATGAATAGAAAATTTTATGGCAGAACTAAATTTTCACTCCTTAATAGCCATCATGAAATAGTACTAATCATCAGTGCAGTTTATTGTATATTTATACTTTTTTTTCTCCTCATTCAGTTCAACCATTCCATGGTTATTCAAAACGAAGCATTACAACTTAATCAAGTCGAAGCAATGCGTAATTTTTTCACACTTTACACAGTGCAATCACAACAGTTGGATGAAGATGCTATAACTGTTGGTGAAGAATTGGAGCAGTGTAGAATAACCATCAACCAATTAACAGAACAACTCGATGAAATTGAATTGTGTCGAAGTCAATTAATTTCAAAGTAAGTGAGTCATCAAGTGTATAGTTTAATTGAGAGCACTAAATGACAGATACAACAAACACTAGGTTATACGTTAAGGCATATGCAGCCACTATTTAGCAGACCACTATGGTTTCATGGTGGTTAGCAAATAAAAATGACTCCAAGGAAATTCATGTTTCCTATAAAGTCCAAAAGTTTAGCTTATCATTATTGTCATTATTATTATTATTATTATTATTATTATTATTATTATTATTATCATCATCATCATCATCACAGAGGACCACTATGTCCCAGATATTTGATCATCATCGAATCCGTTGTAGTATTAGTTGATATATATGAATGCCTGTTCCCAATGATTGCTATTGCTGTCTGCTTTCAAAGATGCAACATTCAGTGTAGGTTTCAAGGACATGTTCCCTTTTTATGAACTCGAGAAAAGCAGGGAAAATAAACTAATTCCATATTAGATTTGTTTATTTGATTATAACACACACTGATCTAGTATTATTTACTTGATGGTGTTTCGAGCATAAATTATTGCTCATAATCATATCACATTGATATGATTATGAGCAATAATTTATGCTGGAAACATCATCAAGTAAATAATACTAGATCAGTGTGTGTTATAATCAATAAACAAATCTAATATGGAATTAATTTCTACCACAGTGCCCAAGTTTTACACCTATAAAAATAAACTAAGCAAAATAACATGCTACATATCATCAGATTGTCATCACATTCCTTTAAATAATCCCTTATCTTCACTATTATTAGTAAGCGTTTTGATTCACACTTAGCGCTGATTTTTAGTTCCCTGAACCCAATTCATGATACTTTATTCGAAGTTACTGTGACTAACTCATCTGTTTCATTGAATTTTCTTGCATAATCTGACGTCAAAGGCGGGTTTCTCAGTCGACAGAGTTTGTCACTTACGCCGACGAAGCCAGTTTGTTCAGCGTCTATGTGGTTGAATTGCAGATGCTATACAAATATTTTGTGTAAGAAACCTTCCTATGTATATAATAATGCTGTAAAGAAAAGAGATTTGTGCGCTAGTTCAAAAATCAAACAGTAACAAAATTGATTTCCATAAATTCTGCCTATATTTGACAGCGTCAACCCAATTCAATGTAATAGTGATCAGACCTCTCCCGATTGACTTGAAGTAATAATGACATGGTGTTTAGATAAACCTGTTTTTGTATGCAGAAAAGCATGACAATGCATATTGTCAGATCCAGTTGAAGAAGTTACAATCTATAGTCAAGAAGTCAAGAACGATGGCGAAATATTCCCTAAACAATAGTTAGATTACGTTATCAAGATGACTGATAGGAACCTTTTAATATCACAGAACGATCTAAGTTATTCTAGAGTTTATCAGCAATTCAGTGTGAATACATTTAAAGAATTTAGTATTTCCATTGAGTCACAAAAGAAGAAAGGCTTTAGCGAACAAATTTGTTTCCGACGAAATCACTCTTAGAAGCTTTCGAATCATATTTAAACATAATTAGTGTGCATAGTTGTGCAGGATGTCAAACCACCTATACTAGTTGCTCAGTGATGAAAACGAGTGGAGGTACAAAATGCCTCTGTTAGCCTGTTCCATGTAAAATGGGAGTAGCAGAAATGGTCCAACTTCTCCTCTGATACATTCCAGCATGGTTCAGTAAAGGTCAACGCTGATCGACCGCGATATTAAGTTGTTTGCAGTAGTGCATAAAACACAACGTAATCTACATGGAGTTGAAGGAAACATTCAATTTACGTGGATGAAGCTCTGGTAACATAAAAACGAAATTAAGAACGATATGTCCAGAAACACTTTTTCCACTCACTATCGGTTTTCTATATTTTCCTGTTCGTGAGATCACAAACCCTTTTCTGTTTTTCATATTGTTAATGCATGAACTGTTGTCAACTCAGCTGATAATTCCACATTTCCTTTCACACTAACAGCTACTTACTTTGTTTGTATTCTTCGTCTTTGGTTTCAGCTGACATTTACTTATTTCTGTTGTGAAGTATTTGTGTTTCTTATGTAACTTTCATTCCTATATTATCTCCCTGGCCACAAACTACCCAGAATTTTCGTTTGGCAAACCAAGTCGACATTCTACGTTATGCAACGTGCACATTAATCAATCATTTAAATGGGACTGTACAGTTTCTGAAAATGAACATGGAAACCTGAGAGCACTGGACAGATGTTTCGTCCCAGCAGTGCGCACCTCTAACCCCGCCAGGTGGAGGAAACTTGGTGGTCATGAGGACAAATAATCAACCATGACATGGATGATGATCATGCTGTATCATGAACTGACAGAAATTGGAAATATGGACCACCGGATTCTGACCCACTGGCTCAGTGGAGACATGCTGGCCACGGAACCTGGAGGTACTATGTTCGATCCCTAGCACGATCACGGGCAGGCATTGTTGAAGAGTCCTATACCAGGATGAAACAGCTGTCCAGTGCTCTCCAAAGTTCCTCCAAATGATGTCAGTCTATGATGAATATCAACTTGAAAAATCACTAAATCCCCAAATTAAAAAGAAAACCAATTCGTCTGCAAAGTCTTTGTTTATGAACAGCTATAGTAGTGAGATAGCCGATAAGGTATTTCAGTGGATTTTTATTATCAGTAACTAAGACCATGTATCTTAGTACGTAAACTTCGGGTATTTTGTGCAGCCTTGGAGAAGGATAAAATTCGTTTAGGAAAACCTAGTGCGATGGTGAATAATCTTGTCTGTTCAAGGCATAAAGTAGTACACGTCAGATGTTCTGAACGTCATCAATACAAGGAAATCCTTTATCTAAGAGCTTAAAGTCTTAATCATGAATCTCACTATAAATATAAATGAACAAATTATAGAATAAAACCAGATGAAAAATATGAAGCATCGGAGACCTAACATCTAAGTATCATTCGAATTCATGTCAGTGTACTAGTACTTGATGTCGGTTCCGTCTGAGAGGAAAGTGTGAGTTTATTGTAAACATTCGAATATTCCGTTGTAATAGCCTTGATGAGAACCCTATTATGACTAGCGGTAGGCACAATCTTTCCTGCTTATGTGAACGCCTTCCCACAGCTGTGCAGTGTATCATTTACCTAAGAAGTACTGTTAAGTTTCTACAGCAACGTTAGAGCTTTCATAAAATCTGAAGGACATAATCCAAACGTTTGTGCTTACCACGAAAACCAATGTGTGTGGGTGTGGACAAACCTGTTTTCAAACTAGTTTCCCACTTGAACTTTCAGTTCAAGAAAGTACGAATGACCTATGAAAGTGCTTTGAAGATAGGGAATCATCAGAATGCTTTTGTTAAGCTTCAGTGCTGCGTTATGAGTTGGATTTCAGGCTAAAAACTTTGAATGGTTGTCTCGGAATACAAATAAATGCTTTCATTTAGTCACTCGGGCAATATATCAGCCAATACACAAACTACATGGCTCATTTCCTAATACCCATACTTCGTGACATTTGTATTTTGAGGAAGTACTTAATTTTGATTCATTCACTCAAGTCAAAAGGAAAAATTCCTGGTTATGGTTATTCATCATTGTCATAAAGTACAAGAGTAATTTACATAGCATGGATATGAACGTTTTGATCAAGCGAATATGCCCAATTCATTTCTTATTGCATTATTTTTCTATTTTCTTCTACGTCAGAGAACTTCATGTTCTTCTAGAATCCCGTTCATCCATGAATCCAGATTTGGAAATTACGTATACAGTAGACCATGTGTCATGGACACCTTGCTATGACATAAGACTGTTGAGTTCCACAGCCACACTAAAAGTAAGTTTATTCTGTTTCAAAAAGGAAATGATATCTACTGATGAAGAATATTAGACTCATCCAAAATCTCAAAGTATTATCAGCGCTCATTTCATTTTAGAATTTAATTGTTGCAGTTTGCACTAATGGTTATGTAAATCCTGGAGCTCATTGATAAGATTGTGTTCATCTAAGTTGTGTCTCATACTATGCAGTAAAAGTGGAATAGTAGGATAACCTGATAAAGGGTAGGATCGATCTCATCTAAAATGGTTTATTCTGAAATATAGTTGCTTTCATCAAAATCATGTAAGTGAACAATATTGTTTTCAGTTCGATCGTCCTCCTATTTACCACCATCTATTTAACAACTGCTTTCATCACCACTGTGATTGGCTTTATTTCTGGTTGGAAGTACAGCCATTTGTATTGACAACATAAGGTGAGGAGGATCTAATTGAAAATAGAATTGAACGCCTACATGTCTTGTTTTGATTCTACAAATATTCCCTTGAAGGCCTTTTTAACTTATAGAAATTGATATTTGTTTGAAAAACTCTACCGCAGTAGTATTAAGCTTCAATTTCAGGCCTAAATAATTTGGTAGTGAAGCGTCTAACTTCAACACAAAGTGATACGAGGTTGAATAATCAGGGGAACACTATTTTTCTCATGGTTTCACATACACTTTGCTCGTTACTGCCAACGATGACCTCTTGCCGATTAACACCTAATATCTAATCCAAAAAATGTCCACTGCAATGATCTATCACATAGCCTAGTGACTCTATTGTATATTTGATGGAGAGATTTCGATCAGTACTGAGCATTTAGGAAATGATAGCTATATATGTGTTACCCATTGGTGATCAGTTTGTACAAAGAAATCTTTCTTATAAACTGCTGTCAGAATACCATGACTTGTTCGAAAATTCTTCGCCATTCTCCAGACTTAAGAGTTGACAACACTTCATTTTAGCTGTTTAGCCCTACCTTTCCACCTTGTTAGCCATAAGCTACCAACTGAATATGACATTAGCTAGTATTTAATGAATGTCTATTCAGGTGGTCAGTTGTTGTTCTGATAACACCACAGTCACATCTCTTATATTGTAACAAAAAGATGAAGTTCATTCAGGCTGAAAACAATATTCGTTCATTGTTGCTAACAATCAGTTTATTCTTATTTTTCAAAGTAATTTATAATATGCTTCTTATTTATTTGTTCAAATTCCCGTGAAAACTTCATTTCATTATTCATCATATTTTGTATAGCTGCTAGAATCTTAAGGTCAGATAATTATTGCCATAGATTTAATTACCGTAAAAGTGAAACGCTGAGCGGTCACATATCCAAAGGTTCAAGTACTAAAATAAAAAGATCAGTAATCAAATAAAATTGACAAGTTCATCAACTGAATGTTTGAGTGTATTTATATGAATGTATGAGTCATTGAATCACCTTAAATAAAAAGAAGCTGAAAGTTTAAGGTTAAGAAAGAGAGAGGATTTTAAAATACAGCCCATAGAACAATTATTAAGAGGATATGGAAAACGACTCTATTACTATTGTTGTTTTTCTCCCTTAGGTGAGTGAATGTTTTCGCATAATCTGTGTTCATTTCTCGTTTTCTACACACATTACGATTGATTACTGTAAGACTTAGCGGTAATTTTATTTCTACCGGGATTAGTCATGTATATATATAAAACAGGAAAAAAAATACTTTGGTTGATGAAAACAAGTGATAATAGCGACACTGATAATGAGAACTATGAAAACACTGGTCTTATTGGTGAAAAAAGAAATTAGAATGTGTCTGAAGTTGAAAAGTCTACACTAGCTTGTGTTAACACCAACCAGTCAAAGCATAACATCCACCCAGTTAAAATGACCAAATTAGATAGCCAAAAAAACAGGGTATGGTAAATAGGTGAGCAGTGAATAACGAAAACACATCATCTTAACTTCAAGTGAAATTTTCAAATTAATTTTGTTTCAATAGATGAAGTGAACAGAAAAGTTCTCCCTAGAGAATAATTTTGAAGGGGATAACTAAACCTTTCAATTCTTGTAAAGTAACCTAATCTGTTCTCATGATTAGAATGAAAAGGGAAGAATGTGAAGTAAACACAAGAAGGAAAGAAATTTAACAAAAACTGGGAGGAAAAGCTGATATTATTATTATTATTAGTCCCTTGGGTTCCTAGTGGAACATAGGGCTTCAGTAGCACGCCTCCAGTGACCTCTGTTCTCTGAGATCTTTTGAACCTGGTTCCACGACAGCCCACAGCCTCTCATTTCCTCCTCGCATGACCTCCTCCATGTCACCCTCGGACGTCCAACTCGTCGCTTCCCATGGGGATTCCACTCGAGGGCCTGACGCGTGATGTCCTCAGTCGGCCTTCTCAGTGCATGGCCAATCCATCTCCACTTCTTCCTGCATATTTGTTGCGTGATAGGTTCTTGGTTGGTTCGTTCCCAGAGTTCCTTGTTGCTTATTTTTTCTGGCCATCTGATCTTCAGCAGCGAGCGTAAGCAGTTGTTGATGAATGTCTGTAGTTTATTGGAAATGCCTTTCGTGACGCGCCAAGTCTCTGAGCCATACAAGAGCACTGACTTGACGTTGGTGTTGAAAATCCGTATCTTGTTCCACATGCTGAGTGCAGAAGATCTCCACACTGGTTTCAGGCTAATGAACGCCTGTCTTGCTTTTCCGATTCTGACTTTGACGTCCTCGTCCGTCCCGCCTGTAGTTGAAACAGTGCTTCCTAGATAAGTGAAGGAGGTTACTTCCTTCAAGTTTCTCCCGTTGACGGTGATTGGAGTTTGTTGTTGTTGTTGATGGTGGTGGTGCGGTATCTTCATCACTTCTGTCTTCTCTATATTCACCTGAAGTCCCGTCTTAGCTGCCTCTTCTGTCAACTTGTTAGTTTTTGCCTGCAGATCTTCAAGTTTATGTGACATTAGGCATAAGTCATCGGCGAAATCCAAGTCTTCTAGGTTCTTTTCCGTCGTCCAGTGTATCCCCCTCTTCTCGCTGCCTACTGTTTGCTGCATGATCCAGTCCACCACAATAAGGAATATCATGGGGGATAGTAGGCAACCTTGTTTCACTCCTGTCTTCACTTCAAAGGCATCACTGAGCTTCCCATTGTGGATTACTTGGCATGTGGCATCTTCATATAGTTGTTGAATGAGGCGGATAAAGGTTTGCGGTACTCCGTAGTATTGAAGCAGTTTCCAAATTACTTCTCGGTCGACGCTGTCAAAGGCCTTCTCAAAGTCGATGAAGTTGAGGTATAGAGCTGATTGCCATTCTACGCTCTGTTCTATGATGATACGAAGCGTTGCAATTTGGTCAGCACATGATTTGTACTTCCTGAAGCCTGCCTGTTCCGGTCGCAGTTTTGAATCCAGTGCGTCTTTAAGCCTCTCCAGGATGATGCGGCTTAATATTTTACTTGGGGTGGATAGGAGAGTGATTCCGCGCCAGTTCTTGCAAGCACTGAGGTCTCCCTTCTTCGGCAGTTTGACAAGGTAACCCTTCTTCCAATCGTCAGGTACCTTCTCTTCCTCCACACCTTCTGCAATAGTGGTGTGAGCATGTCCGCTGTTGTCTCTGCATCTGTTCTCAGTGCTTCTGGCGGTATTCCATCTGGTCCTGCTGCTTTCCCGCATTTCAGTAGCTTTATGGCGTTCAGGACTTCCATTTTCGTTGGGGGATTTATGTTCACTTGTAATTCAGCGGCTGCAGGTGGTATTTCTGGACGAAGTGCAGGTGGTGGTCGATTCAAGAGCTTCTTGAAGTGGTCGGCCCATCGTTTCCTCTGTTTCTCTTCTTTTGTAATTAAATTTCCTTCTTCATCTTTTATTGGTTTCATCTGTGTTGGTCTCTTCCCTGATAGCAACCTGGTTATTTGATACAATGTCGTCAGGTCTCTCTTACCTGCAGCCTGTTCTGCTTCACTTGCCAGTGTTCGTAGAAGTGTCTTTTGTCTTTGCGTGCACTCTTCTTCACTTCTTTGTCCAGTGTTTTATACATTGTGCTCAGTTCCTCTTGTCGTTGAGCATCCTTGCACTGGTTTATCTTCTGCTTCACCATCCTCCTCTCCTCTATCAGCTTCCAGGTATCCGTCGAGATCCATTCCTTGTCTTCTTTCTTCTTCCTTCCTAATACTGTTGTGCAGGTTTCTTTCCACATAGCTTTCAAAGACTTCCAGTGTTCTTCCACACAGGTTTCTTCAGGGATGTCCCTCGATATCTCCCATTTTGTCTTGATGGCTGCTTTGAAGATCTCCTTTGTAGTTTCATCCTTCAGTTTCCGAGTGTTGTACTTGAATTGAGGTCTATCACCAGCTTCCTTGAAGGCTTTTAACTTGATTTGGAAGGTTCCTTGCACTAGATAGTGGTCTGAACCTACATCTGCTCCTCTTCTTGACCTTGTGTTAAGTAGACTGCGTCTCCATTTTCTTGAGATTGAGATAAAGTCGATTTGATTTTTAGTGTGTCCATCTGGTGAATCCATGTCGCTTTGTGGATATCCTTGTGCCTGAACACACTGCCTCCAATCACCAAATCGTTGAATGCACAGAATTCTGCAAACAATTCTCCATTCTCATTCATTTCACCTAGCGCCTCTCGACCCATGGTTAGTTCTCTTCCCGTGTTGTCCCCTCCCAGTTTGGCATTCATGTCGCCCATTAGAATTTTGATATCGCCAACTGACGTCTTGTCCAGTGTTGATTGAAGTTGTCTGTAGAATTCCTCCTTTTTCTCTTGCTCTGCATTATTTGTAGGTGCATAACATTGTATGATTGTGACCTTTCTTCCTTTTGAGTTGAATCTTGCTGTCATGATCCTGGAGGAGATTGGTTCCCACTGCATGAGAGCCTTCGATGCTCTTGAGGACATCATGATAGCCACTCCCTCAGTGTGCTCGTGGTTGGCGTCTGGGTGACCGGAGTAGATTATTGATTCTCCAGTTGACAGTTTGGAGAGTCCACTCCCATTCCATCTGCTTTCGCAAATCCCAAGCACTTCGATGTTATACCTTCTCATCTCCTTTGCAATCTGGGCTGCCTTACTGGGTTCAAACATCGTGCGGACATTCCATGTCCCCACGTTTACTTTCGCTTTCATCGAGAGAAGACACATCGGCCAATTGGCTTCCCGAAGGCTTTCACCAACTGGCGTCATTTCGCCTCTCCGATTCCAGCGGGGAATAAGTTTGTTTTCATTTTTTATATTTTGTTTGTGCTTTGAAGTTTCTTTAGCGGTTAGATTTGTTTTACGGGGTAGGGTTGCTAGCCCTATGCCCAACCTTCCCTCTTTACCCGGGCTTAGGACCGGCTAGTAACTAGTAAACTAGTTAACCAGGCGAGGTTGAGGAAAAGTTGATAAATGGAATAATATTCTACCGACCTACGTATACAGGTTAAGGACGGATAGTGAACCAGACACAGAATTCTCGGGATGTTGTTTTCACGGAAATCTTATATTACTTGAGCGCATTGTAAAACCTAGGAAATGATAGTTAAATGTTGAGTTCCCTCATAACACCCGTAATTATATAGACAAGGTACAAAGTCCACTGAATCACTAGTTCAGTCATCCATGGTGTGCTGGCTGTGCATCACTAAGTGATGTGACTATCATACAGAATGCATATCTCTTATTAAAAAAAGAAATTTACTTCAGTTTGTGTTTGGTGTAAAATTGCAGAAAAACTATTGCATGAAATATTATTCACGGTAAAACCTCCACAAAAAGGGCTTTGTGCATAAGTTTTTTGGAATTATATATCAACTAATTAGACGAAGGTAAAGTTTGATCGGTAGACGGTTGCTCATGGAATCAACTTGAGATATTTGTGTTTAAACGGATTTAGCACTTGTTCCAGACATTCAACAAACCCTTATTTATCTATCGAAACAATTTGCGCGTAGTCTTCACTCATCTGTTTTCAGTTCAATCATAACTTATTCATTCTTTCAACTTGTTATCACCGCTGTATTTCTTTACAAAAGTTGCAGTTATTTGTGTAACTAAGTTTACATAAGTACCTAGAACACAGTAGTAGGTGATATTCTTCACCACATGATTAAAATGGTTCGGCAGTCTCTCTTTCACTATACTTTTACACTGTGCAGTTTGTAAAACCATTTAGGATGCAGAACTTCCATCTATTAATGATAACAGCATGAGCTAGAGACTGTTCCTTAAGATAGAAGCCTTCTAGATATTTACGCACAATCGCTTTCTGAATCAGTTTTAAACATGATAATACTAATGTATTGGGAACTTATAAGTTTCAGCAAATCTATTTACTGTAGAGCAGCCTTGTAGGAATGTATCTCTGTGCTTTCATATACAAGTGAAGCTAGAAGGGTTAGACTAGCAAATTTCGGATTTTCAGGTATTAAGAATGCAAAAATCATAAACTGTAGTTTAAAATCATTGCTAATTTATGTGCTGTAAACCAGAAGTTTCGAGAAATGCACAGATGACAAAAGGATTACACGTAAAGCATCAGTTAGCACTATCCAGCAGATAGTGGGATGCAACGACCGCTGTAACAGTGATGAAGATCAAAGCAGTAGTAAAACGTTTTCTCGAGCCACAGTCTCTATGCTGGGTTGTTTAACTATATCGTTCTAAAATACACCAAAATATGTGACCGCTTTCCATTCTCACACTTCATAGAGAAAAGTTATCAGTAAATGGAATGAAAATAACCTAAGAACCCAGAATGAAATATGAATAGAAAGGCAAGAAGCAAGTAGAACACGAATAATGATGTTATGATTAGACTTACTCAAATAGTTTTTCTTTGATTAACAGATTACGATCAGAAAACAAGACACTTGAAGGCCAGTTTTAGTTCTAATCACAACTTGTAAGTGATAAAAAGACTGATGCATACTCCAAGATAGGCATTAAATACATCTGGATAATTCAGATGGCTTTGGATTCATGTATCGACAGTCCCCCAATTAATGATTTCCATTTATGATCATTATTATTATTTTCACCCCTTTTCTTTACGCTGTAATTGTTGATTTCAGTAGGACTGTCCCAACTTTCTTACCTGTCTTATTACGTCAAATATTATTACGCAGTCTACTTGTAAGTACGTTATACCGACCTTTTGGTGGTTTCCCTTTTCTCATGAGACCCATCTATACAAACTAAATTCACCTACTTAATGTGAACTAACAATTCAGTATTGGGTATGTCGATCAACAGATTAGTACAGCGTCTTGATTTCGACGTCCTGAGTTGATTTCAGTAACAGTTAGATTTCCTGTTAATTACTGTCAATATCAACACAATTAATTTTAATCACTTGTAGATTATTTACTACGGGATTATTCGACAAAATACTGGAGAGGACTGGGAGCTTGGTAAATTAACATTATCAACTGCTGAACAGGATCATTTCAACAGTATACCAGAATTAACTTTAGAAAAGCTATCGTTTAAAAATGATGAAAGGCAAGTTGAAATAACCTGACGAATCATTTCTTTTTAAAGAAGGGATGTACTATTTAGAAACTAATTTGACAGGCATGTAACGCAATAATTCAGGCAATAACGTTTTTGTTTGGTTAAGGTAGTGGTAAAAATGATACAGTACTTATCAAGTAGACAAGCTCTGTTCATCTTCTCAAGGCTGCGTAATCCATCTTGCTCTTAATTGCTTCCCATGAGGCATGGTAGAAAGCATTAGTTGTGTATGCTGCATGACTCTAAGAAAGAGTGAAAAATAATTTTGCTCAACAATTTACTAGTCGTGAAGCAACTTCTATGAGGTTCTTATTAAGTTTTGTGTTAGTTAACTCTATCTAGGTGTCGCAAATAAGCAAATGAATCAGTGGACATATAGATATTTTTCAGAAATTAGCAATTTGCTGTACTGTTGAGGTAATCACGATGTCTTTCACTGCGTTTCAGTGAGATCTGTACATTACTCATCAATTTTTACAAAAGGTTAGGACTGTACAGCCGTCAGGCTATTCAAATTGCTTTCAAATGTAATGTAAATTGGCAGTAGTAAGCATTTTTTTTCCGGTGATCGGATTGATAATCATAATAGCAATCATTATTTGTTAGATAGTAGAAATTTTCAAGTATCTCTTATCGTGTATTATTAATAACTGCCTATTAAGTGAAGTACAACAGATTTGATGCACAGCAAAAGGGAAACAAATAACTCAACACCTAATTGGAAACTGAAAGAGGATTAATGAGAAATTTATGGAAGATGAGATGACAGATTCTCATTTATCAGAAAGTGCTGTGCTTGTATGGATGTAAACAAGTTTAATATTTGTCATAGGCTTCGGACAACGTTATAATGTATTACTATTCGTTGACTGATTGGTTACATCAGAGAGCATGAGATCACAGTCGTCAAAATACACTAGAGGTAATATTCGTTACAGACTGATATCATTCGGAGAACCATTGAAAAAACCCCGGAGCAATGGGCAGTTGTTTCGTCCTAGTTTGGGACTTAGTAGTATGCAACCACGACCCAGCTAAGGATCGAACTCAGGACCTCCAGGTTTCGCGACGAAGTGCAGAGGTTCACAGTTCCCAAATTTTGTCAATTCACGATAAATCCCAGAGGTCTTTAGTTGGCATCCACCTCTCCTCTGTTTGGTTGACCCCACAGGTCATGACTTCACATCAGAAATTCAGGATGTCCACCTCAAAGACTGTTACTACTACTACTACTACTACTACTACTACTACTACTACTACTACTACTACTACTACTACTACTACTACTACTACTACTACTACTACTACTACTACTACTACTACAATACCTTATTTTCACAAAGTTCACCTTTACAATAGTGTTTGACAATGGATGGTATTGGCGTTACTACGTTTATTTCTACCTCTTTTGATTCAAAAAAGTTTTCGTTGTCGATTTCATTATGCTGCTTCTATTTGAAACTCATTTTTACGCATTTCCAAATGAACCTGTTCTGCTGGAAGAGCTGAACACTTTTGCATTTCTTCAATTAACTATATTCTTATTTGGTAAGCGGGTACTTTCCAATGCATTCATTCAAACGACTCACATTTAAACAATTTTTCTCACGTTAAACACATCAAATAGTTACTCACTTTGACTACTAAACACAATTCACTAACCTGCTGTAATATTTTATCAACTTTGTTGTCTATCGATACTAGACAGTGTCTTTCCTTTCAGTATTGATCTTCCTATTGTTGTTTTTTCATTTTTCAGTAACTATTCCCGTGAGATCTTTAACATTAACTATAATGAAAGTAAAGTTATCGTCAAACCCAGTAGACAGGGAAATCAGGACTCATTCAATACAAAGCAATGTCAAATTTATTCGATATCTGATAGTGAATCAGATTAAAAATTTGATAAAATAGTAATTACTTTACTAGTGGGCGCTTGTATTGAATTCAATTTCACAACATCATTTCTGTCAAAGAATTTTATTTACACAACCAACACACACATACAGAAACTATCAAATTAGAAGTATTTCACAAGTATAAAATATTGTGAATAAACAACGTAAACAATGAAAATTGTGTAAATATTTTATATATTTAGTATCGGTTAGGAGTGGAATCCTACGCGTAAAATGAACCTGGATCTGTGTTTATGCTGCAACTGCAACTGGAATCCAGTAATGGTCGCTTCAAACTCCGTAGCATCTTTCATTGGTTTACTGGCTTATGTTAGACACATTTTGTTCTTAGGGTGTTAGTTTATTATTAAAAAATTTTATCTTTTCTCAAGTTGACATAATGGAATGGATCGATCAGTTCACGTTGATATTTAGCTGCTTGGACATACGCATCTGTATTGTCTTGAATCAGATTTCAGGTGTGTATTTAGTAGTGGTGATCAGTAGGGGAACTGTCTAGTTAAGGATTTGAATACCACGGCTACAATGTTTAGCTATGGAAATCATTCAACAACCAACAAGATTCTTTTTGCGAATGATAGGAAAGGGGTATTGCTTTACAAATAGCTTGAGCTGTAGTGATTGCATAAAATAAATTTAGCTTTGTATTCGGTAGAAACTCATCCCAATTTCTGTTTTCTGTCAAAATAAATTTTTAGTGGTTGTATAAGTTGGAGAAAGGGCTCAACAACCCCCATGGAATAACCAATAACTACATAAAAATACCAAGTTGTCAGGACCTAGTATCCACTTTACAAGCCACACTGTGCGAAGCAAAAAACAATGGATAAGCTTCTCCGTAAAACAATAACTGTCCTTTTGCTACCTTTTTTACACTGTCGTATAACAAGGCAGTCAGCATCAGGATTTAAACTTAGGTGCGATGACAGTATGTTTAACCGAGTATCAAGTAATATAGAACAGTTGGCGTCAACACACTTCTTAACTGACTCGATTAAGTCTCCGTTATTAGTGAGAATTTGAAATGAGAATGAAAACTGGACGGTTTACTATTGTGATGGACAAAAGACTCACTTAAAGGTTTCACAAGAATAGTTTTCGCTGTTACACCTAAACTTCCTTTTACTCTACAGTTTCATGTTATTTTTGTCAAACGATTTTATAGTCAATGTTCACTTCGTAGACTTGAAGTAACGTTCAGCCAAAGCTTTTAGTAGGAATGGATCATATGAATTTTCTGTATCAATGATGGTGTCTTAAATTAACAGTCATAAGTAGGACGTTTCCCGTAACAATCTACCTGATACATGAATTTTTGTTCCTGACATTTTTGTACAGTCTTTTCGTTTTTAAATAATGCACATGTTGATTACATTTTTGACTTTACAGTCGTTATTACAGAAATCAAATCCATCAAAATTTTCAAAAACCTCCAAGTTAAAACTGCCTCCATCCAACCATAAAGTTGGATTGCTTCGAATAAAATTCTATGGTTCATTTTAACTAGAATCATTGCTCCGTAGATTCCTTCCACTTTGCAATGGTGGTTCCGATAAAAAAGCCACTTATGTAGGAGAATAAGGAATACCACGAATCCATTGTAATAAATTAACCATATTTAGCATGATTTCAACATTTCATAGGCGTCTTTAAGTTATAAGTAAGACTTCGCTTTAGTGATTGCATGCATCTGCTGAAATACTCTGTGAAGGTTAAGGCAAGAGATCCACTTCATCAGTAAAACTATGAGATTTCCAGTATGATGTATCTACATACAAACGACTGATGAAGCTTGAAGAACAATTTAATATATTAAAAGCGATTCAAACTATTGACGTTCATATCACTGACAGAATACCGTACCAAACGAACTATGAAAACTAACCTCTAAGTCAGCTTGAGTTCCACTTCATCTAAGTTAAAAAATGTTGATTGTCAAATTCATATGATTTAATATCTTCGAAATTGTGTAAAATACTTTGAGAAGATTGTACATGAGTGTGTATCTTTTGATTTCGTACGTAGCAGAGTACATTCATTAACAGTAACGCAATTCCTTTTCGTTGTGCTACTTATATATGACTTATTACTTCAATGCTACCATTAGTCATGACAATTAGTCCAAGTAACTTTTATCTGCTTGTGAACGTAGCCATTGCAGCTGAGGTAACAGTTGTGCCTTTGTATTACGACTTACTTTACTTCAGCTACTACTCTAGGTAACTCCATGGGATAACCTCTCGATATGTACTCTGGTTCTGTCCTGAAAAAGTTTCCCTTTTTATTAATGACTAAAAATAGTAATAGTTATTTCAGTAGTACTTATCTGTTTTAAAAAATAAAATAAATTGCAAAACATTATCTGAGTGAATCAAGTAAAAATTACTGTCATAAATATGTCAGAATCATCCACTTCTGTTTACAGTAATAAACATTAGAGTAATAATAACAGTAACCCTGACGATATTTACTTATCGTTAATCATCTTTGAAAAATGAAATTTATTTCACTCTGTCTTGGTATGCTTATCTGATGCATCAGTTTTAATATATTGCGTTTTGTTGTTTGTTTTCTTTTGCATTTTGTATTCCTGTGAATTTTAGCAACTCCAGTGTTATTCGTAGGCGTCATCATATTGATAAATCATTGAGAAAGTCAAAAGCCCGTTCATTTCACGCAGAGGAATCAACAAATCATCTTTCACTATCATCATCTTTATTATTACCGTTAGCAGAAACTGATACTGGACAATATCATAATGATGGAAAGAGAGATATATACAATCGAATCAGTTTTTTTAGTAATGATTCAAGAAGTAGGCCGGAACGGAGTATGCTGAATGGAGGAAATAATCACAGATCATCATCAGCCCAGCGATACTATACAGTAAGCTTAGCTACATAAAAGTTAATAAATAATTTCACCTCAATAATGTTTATCTTTTCATTCTATCGGTGAAAATAAAAAGGGGGGTTTTTTCCAAAATGTACAATTACCCGGTTATCATGACTAAATTGTAAAACTTTCGCTATACACTTGACAAATATTGTTGCAGGATTTCACCATGAGCTTAACGTTTTGTTTAATGGCATTTAGCTACGCACTGTGAATGTGAAATACATCACTCACCAACCAGTCTATGAATTCAAAATCGATTGCCTCATATCATGGCTAGTAGTTCTTCAAGTATGCCATAGGATGGTCTTTATTTAACCGATATCTGGGATAATCCCTCACTGTAGAACAGTTAATATATCAGTTTACGCTCAAATTAGGTGTATATCAAAACAGTGGTTTCTCTGATGAAGGTTATAGTTCATTTTCGTGCTGTTTCTAGACTTCCGAATTCCTATGTTTAAAAAGACTAAACGAAACCACATGTATTTCCCGGTAATACAAGAAAATAATTAAATAAAGAAAAAGACGACAGGGTAAAGAAGAGTTTGATGTTCACCTCCCGATGAGACAAATTCCCTTTTATTGTTTGAAAATCATTCCGCATGCAGAATGCTTTGGATTTGTATCATTTCTTACTTTCCAAACGTTTTGTATTTCGGCTTAGTGTTCCGTAAGTATATTGTCGTAACGCTACAACTTCCTTACATTCATAGAAGCTTACTGAATTGTTTTCGAAGAGTGACCAGGGTCGAGTTGCCTCATTCTGATTGTTGAATGTATCTTACTAACACGAATCTGCTACATTTCGAAGGTAAAACTGAGGAACAAGTTTCGAACTGAATAAGAAATGGATTAGTGTCGTGTTCTCCTTACGAAGGGTGTGATTGATTTTAACTACCCCACTACTTTTCAGCATGCTTATTTCGATTAGATGACCTACTAAAGTTTTCCAATAGTTGATATACCAAGTCAAGTATTATAAACCTATTGGACGATGATTCTCTAGATTGACGAGTTCGTTAAAATTTTCCTTTATTCTTTCTAGAATCACCACCTAAGGTTTCGATAGTCTGAATCATGTTCATATCTGTTTGCGTTCTTAGTATACTTAGCTGCTGAACTCACTTAAAAAATACTTGAATTAAAACTGCATAATTATTTTCTCATAAAATTTATTTTTAGCAAAAGAATGAAAATGATTTGAATTCGACGCTTATTCATTGCCCTTCGTCCTCATTAGAAAGTGTAGTATTTAAACAAGATTACGGGAGTTGGCAGCCGAATACATATAAAAGTAATTCAAACCCTTATCCTTCGAAAACCGAAAAACCACTATCTAATAATAACTTTCCAGAGACGTACACAAAGAGTTATTTTCCGTCACTTGGATTTGAAATCCCCAAGCCACCAAGATGTATCCGAGGAAACGGGGAACCTCATCGCGTTACAATTGGTATACTAGAGTTTAAACCGAGATTGCAATATGTCACAATACCCAAACAAACACCAAAAGCATTTTACGTGCCATCATGCATAATACATCAAATTTCGCATTACTTGAAGGTCAAGCAAGTGTGTATATTGACAGTAATTTTATTGGAAAGGTGAGTGTCTGGTTACTTTTTAAAAACATGCATATTGCAAATAATCACCTGTAATGGATACATATTTACTGGAGCAAGGGCATTAGATCGGTGTACTGTTATTGAAAACGTTTTGACTTGTGCAAAGTGATGACTACAATTTGCACTAATTGTGGTAAATGTTTGCAAGTGAAATTAGTTTTTACGCCTAAAGGTGTAAAGAACTCAGCAGCTCCTCTTGTTAGCCGATGATGAGCTTTAAAACTGGAAAGTATGTTCATTTAAAGCTCGTAGGTTTCTGAGGTTTTTTTTGACCGAAATTCACTACTAGAATCACTAAGGAACATCATTTTACAAGGCTGAATTAAAGAATGAAAAATTTCAAACTGTGTCGGACAAAATTCATTCGAGACCAAAATACATTCCAATTTTTATTCAGAAGGAATTATGAGTTAGATGCTTTACAAAACCGATTTGTTTGAAGGGCTTTTGCGATAATTGAGACTCAAACTGCACAACAGCGGTAAATTATAATAACGGCTAGGAGTAAGCAGAGAGTAATGACATTACTATCTTTCAGATAATGGAAGCATAAATGTTACTTCTACATGCATCAACCATTGTTCTTCTAACATAGAACTGGAGAGACTGTCAGTTTTGTTTGAATTTTTTCTACACAAATCATTTACTTACATTTCGACAAGAATATGCCTTACAGAACAAGATTTCTTACCACCTTCCAATGTTTCCTGTACAGTTACTTGCATACTTTCATAATCAAGGCAAAAAGATACAATCGAGGGAAAAGTGCTTGGTGAAGTCATCCAAAAGTGAAGAATCTCAGGGTGAAGATACGATGAAACTCAAATATGTCCATTACTTATGCAATTAAATGACTGTTGTTTATTTTCAAGTAGGACTTAGGGTCTTTCGGATATCTTGGAACAAAATCTGAGCAACTTTGATCAATGTTCATTATCTGTTTAGTATAAGATGTTAACTAGGACCTGCCTGTACAGAGAGCTATGTTTCGACATTCTCGTCAATTTAATTATTTGGAAAGTTATGGTGCTCCTAAAGATCCGTTTGCCACTGAAATGTTGTTTCGCAAATAATAAGATTAGGTCTAATATTATTGATATGCGCCAACTACAGTACCAATGAGATACTTATCTGCCAAACCAACGGTTAGTACACTGTACAGGAGTTCTTTTTGTCCTATTCTATAGTCACAAAACATGTCAGATGAAAGTAGAAATCATAAGGAGAATGAAAATTCTTAACCATAAGTTTCCTTATAATGTAGCTTGTCAGAGGTGAAGCGGAGTGCCACGTTTACTGAACTGATGTCTACTCTGAAGCTCTTACTTTTGTTCAAGTAATTCATTAAGAAATCCATTCAGATATGTCGAGTGCTCAAATGTTTGATATTTGATAGTTATACCGTCCTGACAAAACCTCTTTCTCATTGATCAAGTGAGGTGGGTCTTTCGAGACCACTTCCTAGCAAATGAAGTAGCACTGAGTTCGTTTGAAGATTTTTTCTTCAAGGTAGCTTATATCAAGGAGTGACAGCAGCAGCAGGAAATTGAAAATATGAGCTACCGGATAGCTAGGATGGAGAAGCTTCTTGAACAAATTTAAGTGACTCAAACATCGAAAGTGTGTTTCACTTATTTGGATTTCAGCTTTCCAGTGATTTATCCATGGTGACTTAGCTAAAAAATTGAAACTGTTCATATGTGAAACAATGAGCTAAGCCATGTGTGATAGAAAAAGCATTTTATTGTTCATACCATCAAGGACCACTGCTGATTGGTAGGAGTGGTCTTCAGCCATTCACATATGCCAAAGGTATATACAATGAAGTTGGTTAAAATTTTAGACTATTGGAACGGATGAACGTTGTACTGATATATAGAACCAGCAAAACATAATGAAACAACAAATTAAAAAGGAAATCAACTTGAAAACTACATATTCAAGGGAAAAAAATTGACCAGAACAATGTAAGTTAGTTGTATACTGTTGAATAAGACTGTACAGTATATAGTGATTTAAAATCAACTGATATATCTCTCTCGACTGATTTCCACTCTTCCAACAGTACTCATTGCTGTTGAATTTGATTTCATCCAGTTAATTATTTACCTTTGTTAAAAATGTTTTTACTCATAGACAAGGCTTTCTGCTACAGCCGTACAAGAGGAATTCATATGCGAACTAGGTTATGATCCTGGTGTACGTGTCACTTATATGCCGAGACATAAGTATAAAAAGACTGGATCATTTCTTGGCAGCAAAATAATGTCGATCATTTTCAAACAAGTTATATCAGTGGAAAACAGTTATCCAAGAAGTATGAAACTATTAGTTATTGACCAGCTACCAGTCAGTACAGAAGACAAACTAAAAGTGAGTGTTTGTATGGAACTATGGATTCAATTTTATTTCGTATACATGGAGAATAAGAACATACTTGGTGTGCTCATTGTTTATTTGGTAGATGGCGAACAGGACTAGACCTTTATTCAAGTATTGTCTACTGCAACAAATGATAAAAATGTATTTATGGTACAGTGTACTTAATGCCATATTCTGATAGGTAACTGAAGAAAATCTTTGAACACAGGTTTCATACATCGTACTAATCCCCAGTAAGATGTACCTGAACCTGTTACCTGTTCAAGTTTTGTCTGCTGGACTGATAAACATTCAATTTTCCTAAGATGGTGACAACTCAATTAACTACCAAACAGATCAAATAAGAAGCTATGCGATCAAAGATCTTATTTTTTCTAAACGATGTTCTTTGTAACCACAACATTGAGGCTGGAGGGGAATCAAAATAATCCCTGACATCAAGAGTACGGGTTTCAAAGAATCGCCTGATATTTATCAGAAGAAATATATAACTTTTAAGACAGGAATTTTTCTTTAAATTGCTTCTGTTGATAAAACATATCGGATTTAAAGAAAAAAAGGGCAGAAATTAAAAATTGTCTCCAAACGTTTTACTGGAAACAAAGGCTACACATCTGTGAAACTGACTGCAGTTTGGAAAAGAAAGTGAGAGAAAAACAATTCTCAATGCCGAAGAAAATCTCTTCTAACAGTTAATAAGAATGTATCACCGTGCTAAGTAAAATCTTTCTTCTACAGCTGTACAAATATGTCATGCACTTAATAAACTAAACAGAAAAATTATGAATTCATACGTCGATCAAAAAACATGAATGGAAAATGAGACACCAGAAGAACATACATTGGTCATCAAATGGTTAACTAGCGTAGTTGTCATGTCTTTGGTGCTGGCCAAATTCTACTAGATGACGTGTAAAACGTGACCACTAACCTACTTGTTACTATATATTTTGAACTTTATTTTGGTATTGGATGATGGAAGTCAATCATCCATAGATCTGAGTTCTGTGGTTATTAGCACTTATCATAAAGATGTTTGGACAACTTTGAATAAACTCGTGCTCTTTTAAAAATTTGAAACCTTTTTTGTGGAATCGGAAATCGTGATGCTGAGCTATTCAGATAACGACTAACCTCGTAAAGATGTCTTAAAGCAGATTATTGATAGTGAACTTTGCATGCATAGTAATGTGTGCCGGATAACTAATCAGTGCCAACTTAACCATTTCGATAGTATGGAGTACACATTACTGAATATTCACGGTTTTGAGATGATGAATTCTTATCCTCATATTGTCATTCAACTCAACTCTTTGAAAGAAGAAACTGTGACCGTAATAAGTCATCTGTAGTACATGCATTTCAAAACTATGCTTTGACAAAGAAAACTACCAGTAAGGCATATTTGTCCGAAATGACACGATCCGCGAAGCTAACTTCTTTTAACTGGTCATAGTAGCTAAAGTATAGGATTATTTGTAAGTTTATACGTAATACATTTTAATGTTGAACTCTCAGAATGCTAACAGCTTGAATTTGGACTGTTGAGTTCTCACCACTTTTAATACTTCTTATATGGAACTAGCATTAAGTAGTAATATATATATATATATATATATATATATATATATATATATATATATATATATGTCAACTGATGTCAATTCTTTATTTATGGATGTACTCCTAACGAAGATGGTTTATATTCATTGCGATTATATACCCTCGAATTATCCACCTTCCTCTATTTATCCAATTCATTTAAAGGAGATACTTTTATTGTGAACTGATAACGTTCATTTCACTTTCAAAGGTGGACGCTTTCGGCAAACTGATAGTTTTGCCATGGGGAGTCCATTAAGACCGTTATTATCAGGTGTATATATGTCGCATACTGAACTAATGGCTCGGGATCTAATCAGTAATGTTGATGATATCATCGTAATATGTGACACAGATGAGGATGCCATAGGTTTGTTACTACCGTACAAAATCATATCAGCCTGACATGTGAGAAAGAAAATGACAATCAACTTGCATTTCTTGATATAATCTTGTGTCGTTGAGAAGACGGATCTATCAGACGATCAACCTATAGAAAGCTTACTTGGACGGGACAGTACTTGAGTTTCTACAGCTTTTGTCCAATGAAATATAAGTGAGGCTTAGTAAGGTGCCTGTTCAAAAGGATCCAGCGTATTTGTGCATCTATTACAATGGATGATGAGAGAAAATTTCTGGCAGACATACTTACGTGAAACGGATTTTCGTTACAGTTTGTGAACCATTGTAGAATTCAGTTAATCCGGAATTCTATTATTTTCTCTGTTCAGTAAAAAGATATATTTCTTAAAGTACCATACACAGAGGAAACTAGCAGTATGATATTGAAACAGAGATTAAAGTCTGTTATCAGTGGAACATATTACGCAGCTCAGCTTATCATTGTTTGGACAACAAAACACCTGCTTCGCTATGCACCTCAACCTCGTATAAATGATTATGTCACATCCCACTTTGTTTCTCGATTCACATGTATGTGTAGGCACACATGCATAGCGAGGAGTAATCGTGCAGTTCAGACTAGAGTGGGTTAACGTATACCCAAAAGTTGTAATGTTACTTGTAATTTCCCGTTGCTATATAGAGCCGAATTTCGCCCAGTTGCTCAGTAGATAATGCGGTTGGGGTTTGAAGCGAAGGGTAATGGGTTCGAAGCTCGGTGGGAACAACATCACTCACTGGGGTGCGGGTACATCCAGCTGACATGTCCCTAATAGGAAGAAATGTGCATCCTGAATTCCTCTACTGGTCACAAAGACCAATATATACCTAAAACGCTTGAAAAACAGTTTAACACACAAACTTTGTTAAGTGCAAGTGACAGAAATCCATCTTCATCTGTAGCAAAACATATCATTGAAATGAATCACAAGGTTAATACGAAGACAGCCTTTAAGATATATCATACAGGAATAATCAGGGGTGCATACTGAAGTTTGTCGAAGCATTAGCCATTCATAAACTTAAGCCCCAGTTGTGCGTACAAAAACAATTAGTTGTTTCACTTAATTTACCCTAGTAATCCTTTTCTGATTATATTACCAAGATTAGTGTCACAACCTTTTCATTTTCATTATATTTGATCGTTACTTTTTCTCTTCATTTTGACATACAAATCGACTTGAGACAAGTAAGTGTGTGATCAGACTGTTGGGAATGTATTGGGCAAAAGCATCACATTTTCCAGATAATCTTCGTCTTTCAATAAGGTTATCGAGATTTCAGTTAGTATTGAATTTGAAAGGCATAAACTGAGCTGAATTACATATTCACGTCTTCATATTCACTGATCCTAGAGAACAACGAATGTTGAACAAGTTCTTTTATCTGTAGACAAGAAAACCAGTTAACATAATGTAAAAAAACTGTTATTAAATGTTGACATCATGTCTTTTATTGTATTTGTATTTGAACAGATACTTAACAGATAATGTTTTCTTCTCACTTTCTCATTATAACAAAACAAATGAACAAGGTTCAACTCATTGAACCTTCAATCAAAAATCCTGATAAATATGATCCAAGTAAACCAGTAAGAATAAGTAAAACTAAAATGGTTGAATGGGACATTGAACTGGCTCCATGTAAGTCATTTGTTTTCATATTTACATTTATTTTCAGTTTATGGCTAAATGTGATTTAGAAGTACATAAAGGACGTACTTTGCAGAATGAAAACTAGGTTACTGTTTTCAGGAATTTAGGGCTGTATTCAAGTTAGATGTTGAGAAATCTTTCTTAACTGTAATCATAAAGTAGTGCCTGAAACCTTGAGCGAACGCATGCTATCTTCTAAATTTGAAATCTTCATGAAATACTGTCAAAGTCAGAGACTTTCCACCTGAGCTACTCAGATGGTTGCTGCCACTTTTTTAGTACTGGAATGTGTAAACAAATTCATCATACAGTACCAATCGATGTAGATCCTCAATCTTAAACACTCACTCAAGTCTGTAGATCACATTCTCATTTCGGCCACTAGGTTGGTTGAAAGGATGTCGAATTGCACAGTGTTCCGGTGTTAAGTGTAGGGAATTAGCTAACAGGAATTCAAGCTAAAGTCATCGACGTCGATCGAATTATCTACTACTTTTATTATTTGGAGTAGCTACACTCTGAATGATCACAGTGCTTAATGACTGAATCGCTTGCACTATTGCCTTTCTTATTATTAAATAATGGTTTAAAAAATGTGTTCACTTATAGTGTTTACTGAAAGCAAAATACTGTTTGACATTGATACCTGATAGTCACCAATAGTGGATTTCGTTTCTTTTTATTTGACATCGTCAACTGGGTTTACCCACCTCCCAGTGAGTGGTGTTTCTCCCAGGGCTGATTGCTTCAAACACCAGAGCGTTATCCACTAGGCTATCGACTCACGGTAGCCACTGTTAGTGCAACGAGCATAATAGCATTAATACCAAAACAGAAAATACGAGTAATATCGAGGCATCCACACAGGAGCCCACATATCAGTAGTGGGTGATCAATTCGGTGCAATCAGCGACCAAGATCTACAAGCTATGGCATCAAGAAAACCATATTATTTGTTTAGAAGAATAAGTGCTGTTTACGTTGAGATGAAACGTTATTGAACTTGTAAGCATATACAATATCAAAGCAGAAGGAAAACTATGATAAATATCTAAATAAAGCTTGCATAATTAATAAAGTTTCTGCTCATTTTTTGAATACAATTAGAGAAGTGGATAGGTCATAATATTTCTGTTCTTGCCACAGTGGTTTACATCAATATCACAAATGTTTATTTATGAACTTACAATTTATTTAGGCTGATGATGACTGATATGAAAAGAAAACCTGACAGAGTTCTGTTGATAAACATCGCACTGGCTTCCTATGATGATCCTTCAGGCTAAACCCAGATCAAGATGAATTATGAAATCAAAACGACTGACTAATTGTTGATTAGACCGTTCCAGATATCCTTTGTTGTGAAAGTGGCCATAACATAAATACATGATGACTGACTAAATTGTCTGGTTCTATGATTTCATAAGATTACAATTATAAAAACGCAAGTGAGTAGGTTACGTGTATAGTTTAGTATATTAGTTAAGCTATGAATCTTATTTCCATCTTCAAAAAGTTAATAGTATACAAACCTAGTCTTACCATTCTTATTCCCAAGTATGTTTCAAAAGGGATAGCATAGCAGGCCTCTTCAAGTTTGAGCTCATTTGTAAGAATTTCTGAACACTCCTTCCTCTGTTTTTCTACTGAACTTTGGAAAGTTTGTGAACTAGTAGATTCTCTGGAAGGTGGTACCTATTGAAAACCAAGTTATTTTCCATCAGTACATAGCCCTATACGTCATTTCAGTAAATGGGTTCGACTATCGATACACTTTTTTCCCCCAAAAGTCCCTCAATCATTCACAAATATTGCGACACCTTTCCCTTTTGTGATGTATAAAGTCAAAAAGACATCCAACACTTATTTATTTCACGGCGATCCTATCACCATGAAATAAGTGTCAGCGAAGGGAACCACTAAATGAAATAAATTTTGTTTTAGTGAAGAAATGGTTATAATCTTTTTCATAAGTCTTATAAAAGAGATATGACGTCTGAGACTTCTTTCTCTGTTGTTTTATATTATTTACAGATGAAACGCGTGAGCTGGTTTTAAAGTATCTTGTTGAACATCCTGCCATCAAGGATATAGATATCTCAACGCTTGGAATGCGATGATTATGATAGCAGAAACCGAACCAAAGTGATTGAGAGTAACAAAAGCATGAACAGCGATAACAATACATTTTTCTCTTTTTGTTCATCTTTACAAACTTTATTACATAATTTCATAGTTGCTAACCGGATTAACTTACTCTTTTATTATACAGTTTGGAAATTAAGAAACTGCATCCTTCATTTCATGAAGTTACTATATCCGTATAAATGGTGCTGATAATGGCCATAGTATAAACACTCGTCTATCATATTTCAGCTCCACTAATTATGCATAACTTTTTTAAGCTCATAGCGTCTTATTGTAAAAAACATAGAATTTTTAAAAATAAATTCGGCATTTCACTCTTTTCTCCCGAGTACATTCTTACTGTTTTGCGTATGATAGTAAGATAGTGCAAGAACTTGTGATGATCATTCATATGAGTACTAGAAGAGAGAGATACAACTTTGTAAACTGATGACAACTTTAATGAAATACAAAAATATAGCTTAAGTCTGTTATACAGACTAGAGAACCAAGTGAAAATCTCGTAAATCTATTTCCTAACGAAACTTTTCATCAACATAATGAGCAGTGTTTTTTCCTTAAAACTCCCAAAGACTTGAAAACCATTTGATTATATCTTCATGATTTTGTCCACTTATGATTAATTTTTTCTAAGAAGTATTTCTGCTGCAGAGAACTTAACAAGAGGTAGGAAATTTTCTACTCATCCTAGTTCACAGCTAGTCCAATGCACAAAACAAGGATCAGAATTCTTCGAATAAAGTATTTCGAGAGGGAAGTGTAAATATTGCGTTTACTGTAGGTGGAAAGCCAGTGAAATTATATCTGAAACGTATAGTTGTAGACGGCGGATTAATCAGTTAGAAGTTTTAGCATTACCTATGGAGTAGGTGAGTTCTAATATATCATGCAGAGAATAGTAAAAACTAATCTTCTTATAGTTCCTGGTGGTAAGCCTAAATATTTGGTAATAAAACCATGGGGTCTAGATTCTTACCTACAAATGGGGAATTATCGTTTCAGGTTTTAGTCATTCATTTCACTCAAAAGTACTTATCATTTAATTTTTCATTCACTTGAGGATTTGAGCTAACTGAACATAAACTACCAACGTTTTGCAACTTTTATTTGCTTACACAGAAAAACAAATAATCTAGGATAGTTTTCAGATTCATCCCATATATCTGGACTGCCTAGTTAAAGCCGTGATTACCTTCTTTTACTCCAAGTAAAATGTCAAACAGAGTAAACCTATCTTCAAATAAGTGACTCTAAAGGCCACCTTAACACAACAGAAATGACTAATTATGTTTCTTTATTGGACCTATAATGACAGTATTTTCGTGAAATGAAAAAACCTAAATATATCATTGATTGCCAGACTGGCCTTTAAAGTTTCGCCCTTGTAAATGCTATGTTTGTTTAAAAGTGTACAGAAAGGGAGTGATTTCCAAGGCAGTTTTAACATCTGTTACAATGAATAATTACTTTTCACTATTTCGTGAAATTTAAAGCCGTCGACTGACTTTAGAGGCTACATTAGTAAAATTATCTGCCTTGGTGTTAAAGTAAGCTAGGTTCTGAGTACTTAAACGCAGGCAAAACGAAATGCACTTTTCATAAACCTTTCATATTTCAACTAATTATTCAGACTACTGCACGTGTAGTTGTTAGTGTGACCCTTAAAATTAATCATTCACATTTATGAATGCATCCTGAACGGTCAGAGAGTATTGCAGGCCTTCAGTCATCGAGTTTGACTCATAGCCTGAAGCTCTACAGCCTACCCTAGCAACTACTGAGGTAACTAATTAGGTTTGTCTATTTCAACCGAAAAGGTGGTCTTTCAATAACTTGTGAAATCAAACAAGCTGAGTGTGAGGACTTTGAAATTCAAAGCGAAAACAAGTCGGTCAAGTATTCCCTCGTTTTAAAGGCTGATTTAGTTCAAAGTAATGATATCAGTGATGAGTTTTTTACTACTTAGAATCTACAGGCTGGACATCTCTGATATCTAGCAGGTGATGGCGTTTTGATTGAGACTCATAACTCCATACGTCATGATTACCTACTGAGCTAATGAGTCGTCTGTTGAAAATTGGGAAGTGATTGCCACCCAAACTTGTTGTTTTTCATCCACGCCTTTTATTTACCAATATAACTTGGGGTTGGTGGTTCATAGCAGCCTCTATAGTACCACGCATCATCGAATGAAGTCGAATACTTAATGTTGAGAAAAAACTTTTACAGCTAAGGTACTAGACAGGGTATTTAGACTTTCGTTCAATTTCAACGCTTAGTGTGTTATAAATTTTTTAAAGTATTTTCCATTATAAAGTCTGTAACATTATATTTTATGAATAAAATCAGGTTTACAGGTTTATAACCGGAGTATCTCCGGTTGCTTGGTTCTTTGGAACATAACAAGATTTGTTTTACTGAAAAGAAGCAAGAACTTTTTACTAACCACGACGACCAAATGAACAATGTAGAATGAAATGACAACTGCACGAGGACCTAGCTAGCTGAAAAGATCTACTGTGCAGTAATAGAAATAAAAGAAGTAAATCCATAGTGTGAAAGGTTACGCAACCTCGCCTAGTTAACTAGTTCACTACTTACTAGCCGGTACTAAGTCCGGATAAAGAGAAAAGGTTGGGCATAGGACTAGCAACCCTACCACGTTAAACCAATCCAATCGCTACAGAAACTTCAAAGCACAAAGAAAATATAAAAATAAAAATAAGCTTATTCCTCACTGGAATCTGTGAGACGAAATGACGTCGGTTGGTGGAAGCCTTCGGGAAGCCAATTGACCGATATGTCTTCTCCACTCTCTATGAAACCAAAAGTAAACGTGGGGACATGGAATGTCCACCCAATGTTTGAAGCTAGCAATGCTGCCCAGATTGCAAAAGGGATGAGAAGGCATAGCATAGAAGTGCTAGGATCTGCTAAAGTAGATGGGATGGAAGTGGACTCTCCAAACTGTCAACTGCAGAGTCAATAATTTACTCCGATGTTGTCACCAAGACGATAACCACTCACACACTGAATTTCCGAGTGACTATCATGATGTCTACAACAGCATTGGAGGCTCCTCTCTCATGCAGTGCGAACCAATCTCCTCCTGCACAATCATCACAGCAACTCAACTTCAACGCAAAAGGAAGGAAAGCCACAATCATACAATGCTACGCTACGCACCACATCAAATGTTCTCCGCTTCTTCCATCCTGTCCCAGCCTGTCAAACGGTATGAAGCCGTTGGGACGACGTGCGTAACGCATATCCAAGCCACCAAAGCCGGTGTTTCCAGATGACTTCACTTATTGAATGACGATCTCCGTCACATCCAAACATACGCTTTGATACTCCAGATTACTTTTATGGTGTTACCACCGGATACGAGCAATCCTACGGGGACAACGATGATCAAACACACAAAATCGTCACACATCCACAGCCAGAAGAGACCAGGTTTCGCAGGCGTAGAGCAGAAGTGCTCGCACCCAGGCGTTGTAAGCCCGGTCTTTTGCGATCAGACCAACGTTACAACGACGCCAAAAGTGGTACAGATGCCACCCTGGCTTTCGGCATGTGGTTTGAAATTTCACCACTCATACAATTACTAATATATATGAACTTTTAGACCATTTCAAACCATTCACCATCTAGGGTGAGCACAGGCTTCCATCAAATATGCAAAACCACTTTGCACTTTGATGGAGCAAAGCAAATACCATACTAATCGCCAACTGATTGAGATTTGAGTAGACTATGTTATCGAACAGTAAAACGATATCGCCCGTATATTCAGAGTCGAATGACCGTTCTCAAGGTAGTAGACCAAATCAACATCACACAACTTCAGACTTTCAAGAATGCCATCGACGGCGAAATGAAAGAGGAATGGAAAAATCCATCAATGCTGCCTTACCCCACTGCTGGTTTAGAACAATGGAGACTGGTAATTTTATGTCCTCACTCTACCTGTGTTATTAGATAGGAGTTTCAAGATGCTAGGAAATTTCCCTCTCCAAAAGACAGTTCTAGAGTACAGCTCTTTCCAACGAATCTAAGGCAGGCCTATATCAAGAAACAACGATTATTAGTCTCCAATACGTGTGACGTTGTTCAAGCATCTGATGAAGGGTTGACATATGACCAGTGCATCCACGACTTAAACGAAACCCGGTCTGCTCCTCCCGATTCATTTACTCACGTGTTTTGCAAAAGTATAATAGCAGCCAATGCTTTGGACACTACTGGTAATAGTATAGTATGCCGGTGATTGTCACATATTTTACATAGACCTTTTTTAAAGATGGGCACAACGATTGCTTCATTCCAGAGTGATGAAACAGCCTTATTTTACCATATCTTCCCAAACAATCTAGTCAGTTTCCCTATTAGAGTCATTCCTCCATCTTAAAAAGAGTTCCTTACGGACCACCGTTTCCTTAGTTAAGTCAATGTTAACTGACTACGGAGGAAGATACACTGAAACTCAGAATGCTGGAGCCATTGTCCAGCTAAACTGATTTCTAAAGTGTCCCACTTAGCGTTCCAGGCGTCTCTGAAGATGGATAGTGGCTAACAGTGGGACCCAGGATGGACATTTCGTCCTGTTTGGGATTAGTCAGCTGGACGTACCTGCTTCCCAGTGAGTGTTGTCCCCATCAGGATTCGGATTTAGGAGTGACTGCTTCAGACGCCAGAGCGTTATCCACTACACCACAGAGCCACTTCGTGTGCCACGGATATAGTTTTTTAAAAGTAAAATTGCTTGTATTATAGTCGCTGATTGGATTGTGGGTGACTGGGAAGCATTAACCACCTTCCAAGTGCACACAACTCCTCAAGCCATCCTTTGCCGTCCCTTCTTTTGTTCATTCCCCTGACTTCTCTACTCATTTCCGATTCTACAGTTATGCCCTATACATTTCTAATTCTGTGGATATTGCTGACCATCAGAGAAAGAAAAACACCTTTTTAGGCCTCCTATAATCATACTGCATATTTGACTTCAAGTTATCAGCGTGATAACTGTCTTACAAACCAGACAGCAGCCTTAACTAGCCAAAATCCTGGTAAGGTTTATTCTTGAAACACCAACCCAGTACTTTAGTGAGACCCTTCACCACAATGCCAACGTGATGAAATACTAGATCCAACTAATGACGTTCAATGGTTAGTGCGTGTGAATTTACTGGTGTAGCATTAGGTCTTAAACAGGAAACATCCATGTTCGACTGGGTTTCAGCTGACAGTCGAACGTGCGCTATCCAGCCCAAAAGATTGGTAAGAACTAAGAAGCGTCATGATATGTGCGAACGTCTGCCCCTCATGACCGCAGTTCGAAAGATACAACGGATATATTTTAAATTAAGTTGTCAAATATGCTGCACACAGCAAAACGTCCAGTTATGGCCAATCCGACATACGAATACAATGCTGGAGTACGAAAGCTCAGACAATCGAGGAGTATCCATGCTGACAAGGATGACTACATACTATATTTGTTTCTGACCATCACTAACTTCAGGCATGAGAAGAGAAAGTCTCACATAGCGTGCACCAACATAAAAAGGTCGTCTAGAAGGGTAGATTGTAGGTAGGCTTCAGAAAAAGCATCTGAAAGAGACAACTTCCCTTAGATTTCTCTCGTTGATGTTGATTGTTGTTGATGCTGTTGTTGGTTGAGTATCTTCATCACCTCTGTCTTTTATACGTTCACCTGAAAGAAGTCCCATCTCCGCTGCCCTGCCACTTCTGCTAACTTGTTGGTTTGGTTTTCGTCTGTAGATCTTCGAGTTTGTGCGACAAGACATTAGACATAAATTATCATCATCATGATCATCGTTGGCGAAATGCAAATCTTCTTCTGGGGTCTTTTCATCTGTCCAGCCAGCGTGTGCCCCTATTCTCGTTTCTCACAGTTGTCTGTTGCATGATCCAGTCCAGTCGACCACAATCAGGAAGCTCATCGGTGATGGTAGACGGCAGCCTTGTTTTACTCTTGTCTTCACTTCAAAGGCATTACTAAGCTTTCCATTGTGAATTACTTGGCATGTAGCACCATGTGGTATATAGCTGCTGTTGAATGAGGTTGATAGAGGTGATGTTTGTCGTACTAAAACCGTAGTATTGAAGCAGCTGCCAGTCAAATTACTTCTCGGTCGACGCCCTCGAAGGCGTTTCCGAAATCGATGAAGTTGAGTTGACTGGCATTCTATGCTCTGTTCTATGATGATGTGTAGCGTGGGGTTGTAATTTGATCTGCACATGATTTGTTTTTCGTGAAGCCAGTCAGTCAGTCAGTCATCCAGCCAGTTCGTGTTGTAATTTTGAATCGAGAGCATTTTCCAGTCTCTCCAGGATGATGCGGCCTAATATTTTGGTTGGGGTGGATAGCAGCATGATTCCACACCAGTTTTTGGGTGACGACTGTTCTTTGGGAGTTTGACAAGGTAGCCCTTCTTCCAATCTCAAGATACCTTTCCTTCCTTCCTTGCAAACCTTGTGTAATAGTGGTGTGAGCATGTTGGCTGTTGTCCCTGCATTTGTTTTCAGTGTTTCTGGCGGAATTCCATCTGGTCCTGCTGCTTCCCCGGATTTCAGCAGCTTTATGGCGTTCAGGACTTCACTTCTGCTTTTGTCGGAAGGCTTGTGTTCACTGATTGTTCTGTGGCTGGGCGTCTGTTGGTATTTGTGGACGAGTTGCAGGTGGTGGTGGTGATGGTCGATTCAAGAGTTTTTCGAAGTGGTTAGCTTATCGCTTCGTTTGTTTCTCCTCTTTGGTGGTATCTGAGTCTCCTTCACTATCTTTCATTGGTTTCATGTGTGTTGATCTCTCTCCTCCCAGATAGTAAGTAACCTGGTTAGGTTATTTGATATAATGATGTAAGGTCTCTGTCTCTCTTACCTGCAGCCTGTTCTGCTTCACTTGTCAGTGTGTCGTAGAAGTGTCTTTTGTCTTTGCGTGCACTCTTCTTCACTTCTTTCTCCAGTGTAGTGTTTTATAGGTTGTGTTCAGTTCTCTAGTGTTCTTCCACTCAGGTTTTTTCAGGGATGTTGCTCAATATCTCCCATTCTGTTCTGGTGACTGACTGACTGACTGAAGTGAAGATGTCCTTTGTAGTTTCGTTCTTCAGTTTCTGTTCTAGGTGGGTGTAGAAATTGAACTGTGGTCTATCACCAGCTTCTTTGAAAGTTTTAAACTTAATTTTGACGTTTCCTTGCACTAGTTAGGTATTGAGTGGTGTGAACCTACATCTGCTCCTCCTCTTCTTCATCTTGTGTCTGGTAGGCTGCGTCTCCACTTTCTTCACATTGACATGAAGTCGATCTGATTTTCACTGTAGTGTGTCATGGTGTCTGATGAAATCCACATCGCTTTCTGAATAAATATCCTTGTGTTTGTACACACTGCCTCGCCACCAATCACCGAATCGTTGAATGCGCAGAATTCTGCAAACAGTTCTCCATTCTCATTCACCATTTCACCGAGTGCCTTTCGACCTGTGATTGCTCCTCTTCGTGTGTTGTCTGCTCCTAGTTTGGCATTCATGTCACCCCACCCATTAGAATGAATTTTGATGTCACCATCTGGGTTGTGGTCTTGGCCATTACTGATTGCAGTTGTCTGTAGAATTCCTCCTTCTTTTCTTGGTGTGCATTATTTGTAGGTGCGTAGTGTAGTGTAGCGTAGCATTGTATGATTGTGACTTTCCTTCCTTTTGCGTTGAAGTTGAGTTGCTGTGATGATTGTGCAGGAGGAGATTGGTTCGCACTGCATGAGAGAGGGAGCCTCCAATGCTGTTGTAGACATCATGATAGTCACTCGGAAATTCAGTGTGTGAGTGGTTATCGTCTTGGTGACAACATCGGAGTAAATTATTGACTCTGCAGTTGACAGTTTGGAGAGTCCACTTCCATCCCATCTACTTTAGCAGATTCCTAGCACTTCTATGCTATGCCTTCTCATCCCTTTTGCAATCTGGGCAGCATTGCTAGCTTCAAACATTGGGTGGACATTCCATGTCCCCACGTTTACTTTTGGTTTCATAGAGAGTGGAGAAGACATATCGGTCAATTGGCTTCCCGAAGGCTTCCACCAACCGACGTCATTTCGTCTCACAGATTCCAGTGAGGAATAAGCTTATTTTTATTTTTTATATTTTCTTTGTGCTTTGAAGTTTCTGTAGCGATTGGATTGGTTTAACGTGGTAGGGTTGCTAGTCCTATGCCCAACCTTTTCTCTTTATCCGGACTTAGTACCGGCTAGTAAGTAGTGAACCAGTTAACCAGGCGAGCCACGACGAATCTCGAATTGTGATGGTTGCCGAAGTAGGACCAGGCTGGAAGATAAAAGAGGCGCGAGGCGGACCAGTAAAGTTTCTTCATTAGCTTCCAGAACCGTGTAGGTAACACAACCGCGGTACTCAAGATGTTATGATTTTATAGCTGAAGACTTCCATATGGATAGCTTACATTCAACCACAAAGGTAGAGATGTATTTTATCTATCTTTCTGAATACTCATATGTACGATCTTTTTATTCCTTTTCTGTGCTGATATGATGCGCAGCGGACTCAACAACTACGCAAGCCTTTTGGTTGACATGTCTGTCTACTCTCGACTGAAATGAAATAAAACTTAATACAGGATACTTTGCATACATTAGTGGATATTTCTAGTTAAAACTGACTAGTTTCTGATCATTGCGAAGTTTTTTGAGGTTCATATTGCTTATGGATACATTTTTTGTTGTGAATACGCACTGACGACGACGCCTACACTGTATAAGGGCTTTTCATGTGAAAATATAAGCTAAAATAGCGTCAAAATAACTAAGATTTCTTTGTCCTCCATTGGTTCCTCGTATCAGAGAAGAACAACAAACAAAACGAACACATTTATGTTGACATATTTTCGTTCTATCCAGGTAACGGAGTTTCATGTGAAGGGATAGACAACAGAACATCTCCCTTTATTTATTATTTTTACAGAAAATGTGACAAAATATACACAGAATCTAAACGGTGAAATATTCTGATAACAGATCAGAAGTGAAAGCGATAACGGAACAGAGCAAAAATTATTTCTATATAAATAAATCTCTAGCAAGTGTATGTGAATAAATGGATGAATTTACAGTTAAACATAATGCAAACTTCCTGAGTAGTGTAAGGCTATGAATAAACAAGCAAACAAACTCATTAATCATAATTGATCATTTCGAAGGAAAACAACAGTTCCTTGGTAAATAAAGAAATAATTGTGTTAGCATTTAAACCAAACCAAAGCCTTCTGTTTGTTGAATAGCCATTGATAATTTTTTAGCCAATATCTCTTTGGAACTATATTGGGGTAAATCCAGGAGATTGGCACAAGTATGCGCTACAGGTAGGAAGTCATCGCCACTATTATTTGGTTGAATTATAATCTATGAAATAAACAATTGGCAAAGAAAAGGAAGTAACAAGAAATTCAAATACTAACATTCAGACTAGACACAGTCAATGAATATACTGTAGAACTTTGCAACACTTTAATCTCTTGCTTGATCTACCGATAAGTTAATTTATGCGTCGGATATCATAGATTTGGCTTTTAAAGATAAAAAGGTATGTGAGTCTTCAATTTGAATGCTACATCCGGCTTAAACATGCATAACCTCTTGGCTCAGTAGCTGACACTAACAACCACTTCCAATTCTTAACATTACTGGTAGTAGCTTTTGTATGTACTCTTTATATATATATATATATAGTAGGGGGTCATAATCTCAAATCACGCTTTTAACATTTATAGATCTTTGTTTGGTGAGCGATTTTCACAATGGTTTTCGTGCACTTTTGCCTCACCACTTTGATTGTATTCAGTTCTTAAATCTCAAGTTGATAGACGCAATAAAGATAGTCTATGCAACTATTTTTCATTGGTTTGGGCTTCTCAGTTTAAACTGATTGGTTTTAACTCTCTTTTGTCTACCGTCTTCAGGGCTCTCAAGTAATACTATCATTAGGCAGCATATAATAAAGATGGCTTATATCCTTCATAGTGAATGGATTAGTAGGTGACTGGTTGCTTACTTACTTTCCACAGATACTTTATGTGATCGACTAAAAGTCAATTACGTTTCAGACGACTTGTCACACTTAAACATGTTTCAGAGTGAATATCATAGACAATAAACATTATTACTAAACATAAACAGATATGACTGAGAATAGGATCATTCAAAATTGTTAAAGTAGTTTAGCTGAAAGAGAAACACGGAGTGATCCAAAAAAGACAATGCATTAATCTATGCTGCTATCTTCTGCTGGTGTGAAGTCGGTACAATAAGGGCTTTGGTTCGGATATGACGAAATTATGTTTAAATATCTTAGATGACATATGCGACAATCGAACTGAGTGGTGCAAAGTTATTCATTTTTTATTCTGTAGTAGTAGTAGTGTGTCTATGATTCCCCTTTCTGTTATGCTGTTACCAAGTTGACGAAAGTCTTACTGAAAAACATAAAAGATGAGCACGTGAAGCATCCAGTCAATGGTCAGTTATTTTATCAAATAATAAACAATGAGGAAATAAGTGTGAGTAAATAAATTTCAGGAAAATACTTGACTATTGCTATACTTCACTTTCATCATGTCTGTGTTTCCAGCTATGAAGAAATCTACCATTCAACAAATTAAATTACAGAAATGTTTAAAATTAAATTATCACTAAAATGGTATTTACGATCTCAATTTCTTCCAGTGTATTTACTGTTTATACATTGAAGTCTGTAGAGCAGAGATGGTGCGTTTCTCCAAACAAGCAGACAAGCTTATCAAGAGAATTAAGAAAATGATATTTTATAATCCGAAGAAAATTTTGTTAAGAGTTATATATTTTGAAGTGAATAAAGATTTCAATTTTAAGGTAGTATTCATCACGGACTAACATCAGTTACAAAACCACTGTCAACTTAGGAGCACTGAACAGCTGTTTTGTCCTAGTATGTGGCTCCTCAGCAGTACATGCCCGTGATCAATACTACCCCAAAAGTTATATACCAGAAAAATTCATTGGTCTACATATACTACTAGTTGATGAAAGTAAGTAGAAACTAAAGAATTCAGTGAACTTTATGAATATATGATTGTGTTAAATACTGACTGGTTGAGCATTTGTCCACATAATTAAAACAATACTCATCAATGGTGATGTCGGAATGAATTAAAGGCAAAAACTATATGAAATAACATAAGTTAGTTATAATCACCTGCACAAATTCGCAAAGTTTGCAGTGTCAAGAAGAGCGAACTAAACGATATAAAAATTACACCGTTCAAAAGAAAACGAAGAACAATTTTTGACAATTGAATTGAGTCTAGTTGAAAGGCACTCTCAAATAAGGCAGAGAGCGTACCATTTCAGAAAAAGTGGACAATAAACTCCAACTCTACGGTAATACAGAAACTGAGAATACAACACTTAAAGTTATCTCCTTTTCTTGAAAATAAAGCTCAAGAGTTAAAGGTTCTTGATATGAAAGGAATCTTGAAACAACCAAATACTGCAGTCTTACCTTAACACCACTGAAACCAACGATTGGTACACGATCACAGCCCGTTAAGAAGCGTAGAAACTTCTTCTTCTCCTCAATAGTAAAATCATAAAGTAACACTTCCCAAAACCATTCTATCACCTGATGTCTTTCCCAATAAACACCTTGATATGAAGTGTTCTGACGAAGTTCATCCCACTTTACTGCCTCTGATCCAACAACAAGAGCCTAGTATAACCCAGGTAAAAAAGATTATCTGAATGAATAAAAATCAACAGTATTAGTTAACACTAAGGTTATGCACAAAAAAAAATATTTTATTTGGTTGGTGGTAGTTAGTGGTAGAATACAGGGTGCGAGTTTCGTCCTTTTCCGGATTCGTCAGCTAGGTGTGCCTGCACTACAGTGAGTGATGTTGTATCAATAAATACTAATACCAAATGACATCTGGAACAAAGCTTTATCAGTAGCTGATATCCGACCAAAACTATGTTTGAATCCTGAGGTAGCGACATTAATCTATTCAAAACAGAAACTTTTCACCAATTAGTACATATGATCACTAATTAGCAGTTACGTATATCTTGATTTATTTCAGTCTGATATCCTTCTATATTTACTTCTGCCGGCCTATCCTAATTGGAACAGGTATTTTGCTTAGCTTTATCCTTCTCTGAATCACTAGATTGATAATCCCAGTTCTCATACAACTTCTGAATGAATGATGATGAATGACACAATCTTACAGACAAAAGATTAAAGAATCGCTGGCGTAAGCTTCTACTTCAGTGGATAAGAAGAGGTTAGTTACCATTCTATATCTATGCGTACACTTTACTGAAAAGCTACTCCTAGGTGCTACACGACTGGTCAATACTGCATATTTTAAGAATTCATATTCAGTAAATCTTTCACATTGATGGCTCGATTATTACCATACCCAGAAACTATATTATTGATGGACAGTGGCTAGCAGCGAAATCTAGGACGTGCGTTTCATCCTGCTTGGGACTCGTCAGCTGGATGTGCCTTTCCACAGCCAGTGATGTTGTTCCCTATAAGATTAATAAACTCTTCACCTTATAAGCATTTGAAAAAGATGATATGATTTTTATTTAGTTCTTCAGTACAGTGTACTTCAAATAATGTTTTACTTTGAATACTTTTTTCAGCGAAAATTGATCAGCTCAATAATGACTCGTTTTTAGATCAAATTTAAAAAAACAACATGATTTAAAAAGCCATTCAAGAAAAAAATACGGTTGGCTAGATAAGGATATTATACGATAGCCAACAAAGAATAACTGAGTGCAATCCGCGGTTCCTGATTATTCGGTCCACTGGTAAATAGTCCTGAAAACTGTGAGATATATTCCAGAAGGATTTCCAAAGCAAACAAGTCATGAAACCAGCGGAAGCTTACATAATATCATGCTAACATTTATCACTTCCAATAATTAGTATCTTCAAACTTTGATTTCGATACGGTTTAACAAAGAGAAGAGAAAAGAGAGAGAGATGCAATCAGCCATCTTGGACATTCGTGCAGTAGGTAATGAGCTACCCTTATTGTTTACGGATCACTGATACTACGTGACAACACAAGCCTCGGTAGCTGCAGCGGTGTGATTAACTGACTGACTCAACGCAGAAATTCGGATATAAGTGCATCGGCTCAAGTTGTCACATACAAAAAACAGGTGGACAGAAAAGGAATAAAATCAAAGCAACTGAGTAGTATAAGAGAATAAACAATTTGAATACAAAGGTTAGTGTGAATATTCAAGCTTTAAATTTGCACCATTGTGAACGATTTTCAGCCATTGCACCAAGCGTCCTCAACCACTGATTTCTATAGTCCCAGTGATCCAAACCAGGAGGTCTACATCTCCTCATACGACACATCAACAGAAATAGACTTCACCGACTGCTGTCAAGTCTGGGTCTGGCCACCCTGGACCCTCTTCCAAACTAATCCAACTCCCCCTAGCATCGCATTTTAAGGTAGGCACTCACTCGGCGTGAGCAGTACATGCCCAAGCCATTTAAGTCGATGTAGGTTCACAGACTCATCAATAGACTTGCCTTTCTGGCCCAGTACCCATCGCTTGACTTCAACATTGCTCATACAGTAATTCCACCAAATGCGGGCAAAACTACGAATACACCTGTGATCAAAACCTTCCATCCGCTTCACGTCTACTTTTAACGGCCATGTCTCACAGTCATACAACACGACAAAAAGGACTACAGCGAAGTATACTCGTCCTTTGATAATGAGTTGGATATCTCGCCAGTCGGCGTCACAGGTGACATAAGTCGGCAAACACCAAACAAGTCCTCTGTATCTGAACTGAGATTTTATCAATAACCACCACGTTCGGGCTGATGGGATTCTCTAAGTAAGTGAAGTGGTCCACACATTCCACCAATTCACTCCCTACCATTAAACTGAGAGTGGTTGGAGCTGACCACTCCTGGAGAATCTTACATTTGACAGGCGCAAAACGCATCATAAATATACTCCGACCTCTTCTCAACGAGTTTAGTAGGTCCTGGATTTTATCATCGTCTTCACCCACCAGGACAATATTGTCTGCATACTCCAAGTCAACTAGTTGATCTCCAGTGAGGTTAATCCCAATGTAGTCAAGCGTACATAAGGTTATGTTCATTAGTACATCCATGACAAAGTTGAGTAAGAAAGGTGACAGTGGACATCCCTGGCAAATACCACTAGTTGTCATGAATTCATATGACAATTCTCTTAAAGCCATAACACGGCTGCATGACTTCGAGTAGGCAGCTTTGATCGCGGTTACGTATACTTGCTCGGTACTTGCTTAACAGTGAGACATTGCCACAACACCTCATGATCGACTGAGTGAAATGCTACCTTAAGGTCGAGAAACATGGCGTGTGACGGTCACCGGTAGATATGCCGGTGTTCGTGAACCTGTAGGAGCGTGGAAATATGATCCATGCACCATTTCCAGGTCTAAAACGTGACTAGTTCTCTCGAGTTCAAGATAGGTGTCGGATAACAATGGACCCTAGGATCTTGGACACGATATTATTCAACTAAATTCCCCTATGGTTGTCACAAGAATATTTTTTTACCTGTTTATAGACTGGGATATTCAATGAAGTACGCCAGTTTGATTCTCATTCAATACATAGTACCTTCGTTACTATAAACAAAAATTTCTTTTCTCCATCCTTGAAAACTTCAGGTGGCAAACTATCAGGTCCTGCTGCTGCTTTGCATCGTTTCAGGTTCGATACAGCTTTATCAGTTTCAAAGAAAGTTGAAGGACCAACTTCTACGTCCCATTCACATTCAAGCTGAATGTTGGGGAACTGAAGCGTTGCTGAGGGTCGGTTCTACTGCGCTTCAAAGCGTCCTGCCCTAACGTCCTAGTCACCTTTCGTGGAAGGTTGTCAGCGTCCCGTTCTTTTCGGTGATGGTTTCACCCACCATTGTCTCTTTCTTGCCAGTACCCCTATTAAGCCTGAGTAGCTGCCAGGTGTTACTCAACGTTGATGTCTTCTCCATCTCTCTTGCTTTTGCTACCCACCACTGCTTGCGATCCGTGCGAAGACCCTTAGTTAACTTATGTTGCTGTCGCTCTTCGTCGTGATCAGATCCAGCTGGATCCAGTCTTCTGGCATTGATCAATCCGGATGATATTGCGAAAATCAAGAGAAGTTTGCTTAGGTTTGGATGTAGGTTACCGACTGTCAATACCGCTGTTTCTACAGCAGACTTAATATCACACAGGATGAGCATTGTTGTTATGTTCAGATAAATGCTTAGCTAATTCCCCTCTAAATACGTACATGGCATCCTCGTCTACCAATGGAGCACAGATGGGCCTCATAGCCTCCTGCAACCAGAAGGAAACAGGTATACACGAGTCCATACAAGCGCGTGATTGAAGTCGAAACTTGCCCCCCTCCCCCACTGATTCTCTTCAACGACGTTTTATAGGAATGTAATCTATCTTTGTTCATCGTTGGTTTGATGTTGGCGGACGCCATGTGACAAAGTGTCTGTCGTTATGCCTAAAGTGATTGTCATAACAAAAATTGCAATAGACGATCACCGTTGTCGGTTCGTTGGCATGAGACTCCGTAAACTCCTCTATTATGCCTTTCTGATTGGTTAAGCTCAGCTTCCCTACTTGAGCCTGCTATTACAACTTCATATGAACTTTCGATTTCTGTAGCAAAATTGAAAGCTTCTCATGGAATTCATCCTTTGGATAATCTAAATTGAGTCAGTGGGTGCATATGCGAAGAATACAAACAGGCATCACCTAGTTTCACAATCCTTCCTAGTTGTTACAGAGTCAGTCAGTCGAACAGCACATAAACGGCTGTTGGTTGGTATTCGATTGTGAAGCGCACTTCCTACTCCACAACTCAATGCCATGCCTAGACTAGCGAGTCCACGAGAGCTTATCATTGCGTCTCCAAGTACTCTTAAGGTGCATTTTGAAGATTCACTACTATGGCCAGGTGGGGTCAATTTAATAACCACACTGGGGTCCCACATACGTATCTCAGAGACGCAGCATACATCTTTGGTTAAAGATTTCAGAGTTTTGGGCAGGGATGTTTGTTGTCTAATCTGACGTAGAGTTCGGAGACTTAGGAAACTGAGGTTTCGATCGTAGGCAATGACCACAGAGCGAGAGTTTGGGTTAGGCGCAATAGGTTTAATATTAGTACCAGTAGGTGAAGAAAAAAGAGGAGACAAAGTTGAGGGATATATGTTATGTTTGATCGAGTCTTGTGTACTATTGGAAGCGAGTAGGCGGATGGTTGACCCTTCCCGGCCGCCCACCCCGTGAAAGAGAAAAAGATTTGTGTGACCACAGTGCCCATAAATATCTACTTGAGGCCTTTCAGAGACAGTCTTCCAGCAATTTCAAGATTTTAGTTTCCTGCTTTTGAATGTCTGTTGCAAGCACCGGCATGTCGCGCAGGCGTGGGGTGTTACTTTTTGGGGTTGACCTTTCCTAACCCCCTTCCTATTCCCATAGGGAAGATAACATCAGAGTGGTACCGCTGATCATCCGGAGGAAACACTATTACTGCTATCACACCCCATCCAGCTAGCAGTAGTACGTTTTCGTCCTCAGAACCCAATCATAGTGTAGTTATTTACACGATAACGGGGACTGCTTTTCGTCATACCACTATCAAACAGATCTTTCTCGCATGGTAGGATCTCCAGGGAACAAGCGTTCCACCAACATAGCTCGTTGGGTCATTGTGATATGCAAGCCCGACCCCTACGTCAAGGTAGCAGCTATTGAACTCGTGAAACAATGAACCACAACTCCAGATGAAAGTTCTCAGACTGCATGGTCAGAATAAAGTAAGACCTTGCATAGAATTACACCAGTTCAAGTTGGCATGTTACAAAACAGCACAAAAATGAGATAAAACATACGAAAAGAAGACACATGAAAATGAACAGGTAAAAAGAAAACTGAGTCGGTAAAATTGCATAAACATCGTACAGAATCATTACAGCAGCAGCAAGCAAATTAAGAAATCTAACCTGTAATTCAGAAGGACGGAATAACTTCAAGGAATAACCACCACACACTTGATGAAATCCTTTTTCGAATGCTGTATAGGATGTTTCACATGATTTTTGAAAGACATATTGCACATATTTCTCAACATATAAAGCTTTATTCTCTTGTGTTACAGTAACATCCTCACCATTGTCAATTAACGAGATAACTTTATTAACACCAAAATAATCCATTGTAACCTGGACAAACACATGATTAAAAACAGTAGTTATACACTAGTTGGTAACTGAAATAGTATGAAATACTGCTACGTTTAATTATGTATGAATTTCGACAACGCTTCCAGTATGTTGTCAAAACCGCATCTGACCCTGACAAAAACCTGAGAAATTGAAAACAAATATAGCAGTAGTATCTACATTAACGGATGTTAGTGATATATTCGTGGAGGCTCATGCTAGAAAGTCAATGACTATTCAGACTACAACGTAGAGAGACTGGTCTGGGTTTCATTGGAAGGGGAGGCAACTGAAACATTGGGAAGAATACTTCGGTAAGCAGAGTAATTGGTTTCAGTCAGTGTCCGTAAGTATAGTATATGCTTCACACTGTTAAAATGCAAAGTAGTTCAACAAGATTGATAGAAACCTGTACCCGCATTCATCTTGCGTAATGAATAGCTAGAAGTTTAAAAACATTTTATGTGAGTGCTGGTAGAGGTATGACTACTGAAATTTCCAAGAGCCAAAGTGGCAAACTAAGGCACCTTTAGTGCCGTTGCGATTGTAAACTAGCTGTAAAATGTCGAGAAGTAAGTTGGAGAGGAAAGTTTTGCTATACATCTATGAAATCTTGCCCCTCTGAATCAAGGATGTTTGAAGAGTTTTTAAATCACCGTTGGCTCCCTAGGATTGCTCACATTCAGTGGAAGCCCCGTGTAAGGGATTTCGGGGGGATATCCCATGAGTTTGGGCGTGAAAGAGATAGGCATTCAATGAGCGTTGTTATCCTGAAGCACCTGTTTCAGTGGCTTGGACGTGTGTTACGTATATTATTTTAGAGGCTTCTAGATTGTTCACTATCCGCCTTCCCTGAGACTGGTTGGAAGAAGTACAAAAGCAGATAGAAAATGAAGTGGTGTCGAAGGACGAAGAACATTTACGCATTCAAAGGCACCTCGCAACCCCCTGAATGAGGTACGAGAGATCATGTAACTCAGTGACTCAAGGTGATAGTACACATTGCTCAGAACTGGAGCCACTGGAGATAATGCTGCAGGATCCTTGTTTTTTCGATTGCTGAGAAGTAAAATGTTTTCAGGTGTACCCTTGAAACTGGACACACTGAGTGGGAATTCGACGATGTTTGGCACTCAGAAGCAAATTAACTTCAGGACCGATCTGTATGATGCCTAATCTAACGATATGCAGACAGTTGTTAGATGCGTTGACCAACTCATCGAACTGAGAAGTTGGATTAACCCTGAAAATTCGGGGATCAATGAAACCTCTGCACGGACATAGAAAAGACTCGATCGACTTTTAGCACTTTATGCCGCCAGTGGCGCCTGCAAGAAATCCAATCGCTTATAAGACTGGAGTATACTGCTAGAAATCTCACTTTATTTTACTTTACGATTCAGGAAAATAAAAATTAAACATTGAGGGAAAGTTACTCAAATACATGCATCTTTGCAGCATCACCCACAAGTGTAGTGGAAAGACCACATGAATAATGGAGAGGTTCGATTTAGGTAGAAAAGATAAGTCAGGTAATGACTTTGTGTACCTTCGTTAACTGCAAAGACTGGGATATGGGGTCACGTATGCGTAGTTCATATCTATCCTAAAAGTACAATGACGGTTGCACAACGGATAAACATAGCCAGAATAAAACGTTTACGAAGTTCAAAACTGTCATTCACAACTGTGAATAAAAAGATCTGAATAAAATGTTGTGACCTTACGCTTTTGTGAAAAATCTACGAGTTTAATTATTGTTATATTCTCCAAGATAGTCAACCAAACATTATTAACAAAGCTATAGTATTAAAAAATAACGGTTAACTAAGTGAAATACAATATTTACAACAAAAAAAAGTTCAACACATTATAAAAGACTTATTAAAAAGTCTTTTTTTTGCAAGTAATTCGACTTTTTTTAAACTACTCACACTGAAGTTGAGGCAAAACACTTCCGCTAAATCTGGTTCATCATAGTCAAGTAACTGTTGAAGAGAGCGACCAACAATCGGATCTAATTCCTTGAGATCATCTAATCCAGGTGTTTCCCCCAATAGTTTACGGAACATTGCAAGCGGAAAGCTTAAATCCACTATGATAGAATTATAGATAGCTAAACCACATAGTATACCAACCATTAGGAATACATTTTCACTTTCCATTGTCTAAAACAAAACCAGAAAGAATACATAAACATGTTTTTTTTTATTACGCTGATTGTCAATTGTCAACAAGGTGCATATGTAAATATACACAGAAACGATTACTCTTCAGAACAGCTAAGTATCAGTAGTTTTAACTGTGATGCTGCATTAAAAAGTGTAAAGAGGACTTTCAGGTTTACAGAAGAACGGTAAGAGACAATTTATTTTTGGTGGTCTATTCTTTCCTGTCAACTAGTATAAGTGAATTGGTCTTACATTCCTTAAAATTTGTAATTTATTGTGTACTGTATCCTTAACATTATGCATAGGTGCATAAAATTCCTCGAGGTAAACAAGGGGTAACAAGATTTGTGACTACTTATCTTCACAACTGTCAAAGCTTATTTGGTGGTTTGGGGAGAAAAGCCCTGATCTGTTTCCAATTATTAGGACACTTCATTGAAATAAAATGAAGCTTTTTTAAAAAAAAAGGGGGTTTACACATAAATCTTTCTCAATACACCAGGCGTGAACAACAATGAATATATATTAAAAATGAAAACAACTCACATAAAGTCAAAAATGCTCAACCAGTATAATTTAAAGGTGATTTTTAAAACTGATGCATACAAATTATTGACTTGTGAGTATTTACTTGATACCGAACATACAGTCGATGTACCAGAATCTTTAAAAAGTGACCAATAAACGACTAAAACTAATCTTTCTGCGGTTCGTTGAAGCAGCTGCAAATAAAAGACTCATGTCTGATCCTATGTATTCAAAAAGATACTGCTGTCAATCTTGCTTCAACGCTGGTAATTTTAATCTCCTAAATTTGTAATTACAAAGTATCACAACCTCATGGCCTTCTGTTTTTCCCAGTTTATACTTCAATCTATTTGAAAATCTTCTCTCACTTTCTCAGTTGCATTCATCTTGTTGCGCAATATAATGGAAACCTGTTGACCATTTTTTACGCTTATTTATCAATGACGTCATTGTTGCCAGTTTTAGAATGACATTATGCACAACCCTTTCCCAGCATGTTCATCCTACCACTATATAAATGGTTAACCTTCATCAACGAGTCAACCTAAATCTTCCATATCAATTCGAAAAATTCTTATCGATTTGCCGAAGTACGTCGTATAACATATTGTTTATCATAGACATTATATTCCACAGATTGTAAAGCAGCTGAGGGGAATCCAAGAAATACATGCATTTTCATTTTTCACTATTGTTCTTTTTGTTTTATTCAAATTCGTGATAGGGGGGAATTGTATAAAGTTTCTTAAAAAAAATTTGAAGCCAACATATTCTGGTCACGAGATGTAAAGCGATACATCCATCGTTTCAAACCGTTGTCTGAAATCTATGAAGGTCAAATTTGGTAACCGCTTAGTAATTACCAGACACCTTATTTGTCATTAAATGAATTACTTTACATGACATCGTTCTACAGGAAACACTAAACTATCATTTGGTGCATTCAGACGGTTTATTCAGAAAACACGACCAACTTAATACTTTGAAATATTAAGCTTCACTCACATTATGAATGGATGTAGATTTCCATGCATGTAAAATCAGTGATATAGATGCAGTGAGAACCTTACCTTATCTATTCTTAGACCGTTCATCAGCAAAGGTGCTCCTTGTCATGTACTTTTATCGGTTATCAAACATACTTTACGTTTTGATATCAACTTCTGAACAAAATGTTTGTATTTTATTTAGTTGTGGCTAGTAGAGCAACCTAGGACATGAGTTTCCCCCTATTTAGGAATCGTACTTTAGCAAAATCGACAAGAATTTTTCTAATTGATATGGGAGGTAACAAAGATTTAGGTAGACTGACATTGGTGAAGCTGTTAAGACTACTCATAAAAGCGAAATCATGCTTAAGTAAGCATAATACACGGTTAATTGGTTTTAATTATATTGAGTAACAAGAATACAACTCATACAGTGATGTCACTTTCACTAATTGTAGAATAAAACTACATACAACCTCCTATTTTTTTGTTCATCCTATCACTGTTTAAATAATTCACCTTTGAGTAGTCTCGACTACTTCATCGATCACGGTCAGCTTAAGTCTTTGTTACCTTCCATTTACATCGAAGCATTCCTGCTGATTTATCAAAACACGTTGTAAAGCAACTGAGGAGAAGCCATAAAACACATGCATGCTAATTCTCCTTTATTCCAATTGAAACATGTGTTAGCCATAACTGAACAACACTGTTTGGTGGAAAATGCTGAAGGGAACCACACAACTAACTTATGATGTCATTGCATAGTGCCCGTGATCACTTTTAAATACAGTACAACCGGTTAATATTCACGAAGTGCTGAGAATGGCTGATTTGCGATGTAAAGTACCAACTATTCACTTCTAGGTTAGCGAAATCTCGTATTTTATGTAAGCCTTATTCACTCTATCGTCGGACTTAATGGTGTGTTTTCTAATTTAGAGAAAAAAAGTAATTAGTTAACAGATCTCATATTCTAGAAATTTATCTGTTAACGGCACTATTTCTTTTAGAATAAATTCGGTTGGTTGGCTGTTTGTTAATCGGCGTGAGAGTTGGATTGCACTTATGTGGTGTTCAATACCGTTGCACTGAAATTCTGACGTTATTACACATAACTTTTGTTTTATTGAAATATTACTATTTTGATACTGTGATAGATTGGATATGAAATATTTCAAAAAGATTGCTTTGTCAAAATGTTTGGATGTCTTTCTGTTTTTACATAAAATAAATTTTTCGTTCCACACACAACCATTCCCTGTTATTGAATATTCATTAGTTAAATGAATCATTTGCTTTTCCCCCGATATCCTCTTAAACCGATGAAATTTTGTATCTACGTCTACACCAAGAATAACTTAGGTACGTTAATTTCTGCATAAATGTTTGTCAAGCGTATTTATTATATGATAGGTTAGCAATGTTATCCGACTTTAGAAGCAGAAGTATTTTGGATGCAACTAGCCAGCCAGCCAGTCAGCAAAATACCTAAAACACTAAATCGAAACACTCACGGGTGTGTGTGCGCGAGAAAAATGTACCACACCATAGAAGAGGAAGAGGTAGAATAAAACAAGAAATACAAGAAACTGAAATATAACTTACTGACTCACTGAACCATAACATTCGAGATTCTGGATAGCATCGAAACATGCCATATACAGGATTTAGTAAATCTCTCATAACCAGTAAGAAAAATTCCTTTAAATAGAAAACAGACAAAAAAAAACCAGCGTATAAATGAAAACGGTAAATAAATGAATAAAATGTTATAAATATTGTAATCTCATGGCAAATCTAAGTTCACAACATCGCATTAAAACAGAATAATCTTGAATAATATTAATATTCATAGAATTATTTTACAAGATGTTAACTGAACCAGTCTGACTGAAAAGAAGTAACATCACGTTACATATTAGGCGAAATCGAATTAAAATCCAATCAACAACCTTGTCCACAGTCGTGCGGCACGCAATAAGCCACGCTGATTGTATGAGGACAAACAATGCTACCTTACTAACCAAGTCTCAGTAGTTGTAGCAAAACCGTGACCCATTATTTGAAACTGAACTCACTAAAGCAATTAGCCATAGCTCCATTGAGTATTAGGCAGCCACATATGGCGCAGCCGTGATATCCGTTTTTCTACTAAGGGTCGCGTGTACTGCCCAACAGTCCGGTCTGTTCTACTGTATGGCTGTGAAACATGGCCATTGAAAGTGGAAGATATAAGAAGGCTTCAAGTGTTTGACCACCGTTGCCTTCGTAGTATAGGCTACCGTATTCCGTGGTGTCACCACGTGAGTAATGCAGAAGTTAGGTGTAGAGTTTTAGGGAGCAGAGGTAAATCAGTAGACGAGGTTATGAACCTTCATCGATTGAGATGGTTGGGACACGTAATACGTATGCCCAGTCACTGATTGCCTCATCACACAATATTGGTCGAAGTAAGTCCAGGCTGGAAAAACGCCCGAGGTGGTCAGACTAAAACATGGCACTAATGTATGAAGTCTCTCACTGTTGGTTTGAGCCATGTAGGGCGATGCAGACTAGTCTGTTGGGGTCCGCGGGAAAAGAGGAACCAGTGGTTGGAGACTGTAGGTGCTGTGGCTCAGAATCGATGTCAGTCGTGCAGATGTATGCGTACATTATCCTCATCTTAACGACGCTATACCGAATCTCACCATTTTGGCATCCCTCTGTTCTTTCTTCTCTTACTTTATATTTCTTTTGACTGCATTCTCTTATCTTCATCCTTCACCTCACCACCTTTCTACTTGATGTACTGATATGAGCTGTGGCAGCTCGGACCGTTACGCAGTAATGCCTGATCCGATGTTGATATTGATTGATTGATCGATTCAGTTAAATACCGAAATTGACTCATTTTAACTCTTTTAATATGTAAAATATTAGAAGCTTTTCCAGTTTTAGGATTGTTTACCTATCTACTACTTTCATGCTTTCAGATCTTCAAATGATATAATGCCTTGAAACTCAACTCGGAAGATGATCGAAATTCTAACAACCAAGAAGACAGAAAAAAGTTACCGTAACTTACTTTTATAACACCCCCTTCGTCCACAGCCTCCTCGTTCTCAAATTTAACCTTAAGGGTTGATAAAGTATAAAGATATTTCACTTAAATTTTAACGAATTTAATTCACGAGCAGGTAAATTTCTTAGAACTGACTAAAGAAATCTGTGAGTAAGACGTATACAATCAAGGAGAGACCAATACCCCTATTACGATAAGCAATCACGTGAAAGGCCAAACAACCGTTATGCCCGCACTGACTCATAATTACGACATAGGACGGTTCTAAAATTCACCATAGCCAGCTAGTTGGAGGTTGAGATTGATTATAGAACCAATGCCGAATATAAATAGCAGGAACGACTTACTATTCATTTCAGATATTTTGAAAATGTTATCACCATTAAAATGAAAGAATAAAGTTTGAGAATTGCATGATTACTTTCACATGATTATGAGGAACAGTTTATTCTCAAAACTTCATTCATTAAATAACATTCTATATCTGTGTCCTCATCAAAAAAAGAAGTAATATAAAGTTAGACTCAACTAGTGTTTAAGACTCCTGGATTAATGCCAACAACAACTGTTGTACACGGGTTAGCTACACCATTTCAAAAGTTTAGTAAATAATACTGCATTTTTCAAACAACAGCTTCTGAATTCGAGTGTAGATAGAATCACTAAGCAACCTTTCCTTTGGAGACTGGTTCCACAAAGTCAAAAGTCCCAAGTAATATTCCACTATAACGGATTGGAAACAAATAAATTACTGTACAATTTATCTGTACAAGACATACTCCATGTCCCACGAGTAGTTGAAAAGATCTGAAGCTACTCGGTAGTTGCTATATACATAGGAACAAATCAAGTACAACACGAACACTGACATCAAAGATGTTCACTGAAATTAAAAGTACTGTAATGAATGAGAATGGAGGAAAAAACAGCAAATAAGAACTGCAAACTTAAAGAAACACTTATATATGATGACTTCAGCATAATATTGTAATGTCAATCTGGATTTTCTGAACATCAAATTCAAGTGGAACAGGAACAATCCGGGCATGAGCTATGTTCACTAAGTGTGCTTTCAGGTAGATTCCCAAAAATAGGTGTCTCTACAAATGCTTTAACTTAAGCCTATTGTTGTTGTGACTACAGAAATAGATTTCGCCCGTGTGAAGTTATTGCAACAGGATCTCAAACTGAGAGGCATATCCGCCAAGTATTTAAATAGCTGAAAGATATTAACTCTATTAGTCATGACTAGTGATCAGGGGCGATCAAACAGATCAGTGTTTGCTAGAGATAACCGTGCTTAACTCCTATTAGATATTCCTCTGACAAATATATTTTCAGAGGGAATACTTTCCGCTTCTAACTGATGTTCGACAGCATTTCAATACAACACGAAAGGCCAAGATACACAAATGTCTACCAGGAGTGGATTATAATTCACAGGCTTCTGTATGTCTTACTATATTCTGGTGATGCAAAACTGAAAAAACTTAGGATGTGTCAAGGTTACTAGTATTGGGTAACTGATATCAAATTTTCGGTTGAATCTTATCTTTAACCCTTCGGTTAGATGTATATGTCCCAAATGGGATGATCATGACATATCACTTATATTAATAAGGTGGGTGAAATGGAATGGGCACAGAATAGGACAAATCTATCAGCGACCAGAAAGAAAAATGATATGCTTTCACGAAATCTTCAACGTTTGGTCTAAAAAGTACAAGAAACTGTTAATATCCAGGTTGCAATCTATGAAACAGTTAAAACTGATAGTTCAGAACTCTGAGTGTGGCGATGGCACAAATAAACTTACTTTTCTTAAGAAATAAGCAGCTTAGTAAATTTTTCCTCTTTATTTTCGCTGTGATTGCTACTCCACCATTATTTTTTGATTTCGCCCTATTACGCAGTATATGAAGTAGGGTAAGACAACTCTATACTATAAATTACTTGGTTCTACGTCCTATCTGAAAGTTTTTCTACCCACAAAATAGTAGAGACGCTGAATAAGATGAGAAAATGAAATCCCAACGATGAATCACCAAACGGTGGTTATCAGAAAAGAATTAGAGGAGTGAAAAGAGGGTTATAACTGTTGAACATAACAAGGGAGAAGAATGGCTATACATATTTTTATAAATAGATTTTATTAATACCATAATTAGTACTTGGAGAATTTAAATGAAAATGGCTGAGAAGAAGTTACAGTTTAGTTTCCCAAATACTCCCCATCTTTCCTACACATTTCGAAACCATTAGTATAAAGTATTAATAAAGTATCTTAGACAGTAATTATTAATGTAAGTAATGAACTACAGAAAGAATTTACTCAGACGTGATAGATTTAGACGAAGTGGTAATTCAATTTGTTCACTTTTAAAGATGAGAGCGAAATGCGACACAAGCAATAATTTAATCGACGAAAAGAACAACAACACATAACATTTCAGTGGATTTTCTACCTATTAAACACAAGTTAGTGTTCACTTAGACAATTATTGAAGCGTATTATTGATGAATGGTCACCAAATTCATTCTATTCTCCGTGTTATGGTCTTTTGACCTGAAACATAGTTATGAATACAACAGTCAGCTAAGCGATCGAGGTTGGATTTAAGTCATGCCAACTGAGGTTAACGTGCTCTATGAGAGTAGTCGAAGTCCTGGTTACATTCTTGAAGAAATTCCACAATAAGTATATCTAGTTCATCTACATGATACGCCTCCATGTACCACGTTATGAGTTACCCTTAATACTAGAAGGCGTGTAATACTATTCGTTTGCGCAGACCGAATTATGCAGAGCAGGATTCGAATGAATGATTTATTGATTCAAAATCAAGTGTTCAAGCCTATGACTTACAGCTCCACAAAGAAAACCTAACGGTTGAGTAGTCAAAGAGTAAATTATTCAATAGTCCTTAGTTTTTAAATACTGAACGACTGGTCTTGTTCTCTTGATAAAATGGCTTACAGCTACAATAAAATAAAAAAAGATTATTTTGAAGTCCTTGGTTTGCCGTTTCGCTGTTTCAGAGTTACGTCATTGATTAGAGATATGATACGCTCCTCCTGTTTTACAAGCCATACATATTTAAGGTCAGCTCAACGTCACCTGCCAATGGGCCTGTTTCCAACTAGGCATATATGCAGTAAAATAGTGTACACAACAGGCCACGCGCTCCTAGTAACGGGGAAGGCCCGCCCAAAATCTCTGGTATCTACTCGTACCTTCTCAGCTAGTACTCCATCGAGTGCCCAGCCTGGTTCATCGCGCTAAGGCCAAACGCATCTCACACCCATCGCTTGACTAGTACTAACCCCCTTCTTACCTCGGTTAATGAGTTGGCACTCAGCCATTTCCGCCCTTACTGCCTGCATGGTTTTAGCAGGCAATTGACCAGGTTCAGGAGTCAATCGGTGACCGCTTCCGAAACCCATTCGCCAGTCAGGGGAGATGAAAAAGGCTCATCACTTTGGGCATTCGATATCGACCGATGGTGCAGTTCACTACGGTAGACCTCATCACTGACCTGCAATGCATATCCGAGCACGTTGTCCAACTCGGGAGAGGTAATAGGCGTACGGCATGAACTTCATACTCTCCATCGCCCAGCAAAGCACGTTGCGCATGCACCTGAGCAAGCAGGTTAGGTACACTAGAGTGTTAACAAACATCTGCGTAGCTCCACCATTACCCAAGATAGATAGGTCTCTTCATTTCGAAATCCCAGAGCTGGGTGGGAAGACGGTGAGTAGGTATGCAGGTTGATATCTGCTTATCAGCGGGGACCACGAGAAGTTCCACCGTAATGCAAACAAACTTAAAATATCATAGCCATCATGAACATCAGTAAGCCAGCTATCTGATAAAATACGACCGAATGTATGCCATCAACTAGGCATTTGACCAGCAGCTCAAAGTACCCATGCCCTTAACCAGAGGACGATGTATTTAGCTGCCTTAAGAGAGTCGTAAGTACTCCCACAAGCAAACTGTTCATTAGCGTAGTCCAGTTTACGATAAATGATGCTGATTTTCACACACAAATTTTAAGCCAATAATCATTGTCTGTAAAAACAAAGTGTTACTACTCTCTGATCTGCAGAAGCACAATGAACGATTATTGCGCAACACATCGGTTTTCAGTAAAGTCATGTTTATTTTGTATTTGAAATCGGTCTTCAAGAATTTTACTCTAAAGTTTACCCAAGCTTCCAGATGATGAAATGTGAAATTTTTCAACATACTAACTGGTACCAGTGACGAAACTAAACTGTGTATGTTTCCCTGAACATTTAAATTCAATGCACACGACGTATACAACTTGGTCATTATATAACAACCAATTTAATACTTTTAACTTTAGTGAAAACTGAAATCTCAGAGACAGCCATAGTTGCGAATTTCATGAGATATTCAGAAAAGTAAGATCCAATTCTGGAGTCATCATGCTAATATGCTAATGATGATAAACACCAAAAATCTATAGCTTAGAATGTACACGATTTCACAACAATTAGGCATATATCACTTGCATGTATGTAACAAACTTAAATAAAAGATTGGGTGAGGTTTTATATATATATATATATATATATATATATATATATATATATATATATATCGGACAAACCTTTAACAACTTTTTGAAATCAGCTGGATTAGCCATGGTTAAGTGGGTCAGGGTATCCTGAATAATATTATCTCGTCGAACAATTATTGTAAAATATGGTTCCGATATACCGAACACAGGTGCACCAATTAGTGGCGAGAGAACACTTTGAAAAATTGCATTCTGTTGAGCTTGCGCCATAGCTTGCTGCATAGTTAGACGAGCTTCTATAGTCAACATTTCAGCTTTCGATGCAGCATCGAATACAAATGGATAATCACAGAATGAAAAGAAGCGCTATAACAAGAAGAGAAATCAACGTCTCTTAGAAATGAAAACAAAGACATAACTATGATGGAATATCAATAAATAAACATCTCTAAATACATCAGATCCTATATGGTTAAGAGACTTGTTCACTAGATAAAAGCTTAAGGATCCAAACTTCTCTCCATAATAGACAAACCTTTTGTATCATTGGCCTTCACAACTCTAATGAATGCTTTCTAGGTGGCATTGTTATTTTTGATCTACAAACGCCACTGTGAAATCAGCCTGTTGCATCTCAAGTAACCAACACTAATCAGCTATATAAATATAAACACTGTTACTTAGCTATCCAAAGAAAAGAAACAAAGCAGAGACTTAAAAGCACGATTTGTATGCAGTTGCCTACATCACTTTAATCTGCATTACTTTCAGTGAAGTGCAAATATGTATATTATGTGTAAACTAGTCGTAGTGATAATAACAATATTTTATGCAATAGTCTTGAAATAACTCTAAATATTAATATTTACGATCAGTAACACCATACTTCTCTCTTTATGTCCCAGCAAATTGACAAAAGTATTCTAAAAACCTGTTAACCCCTACAAGGAAAGCATCATGAATCTTTTTAGTGCAAACAATAGAGCAGATGGTGATATTTACTTGCTTAGACGATAGGTGAATACCTCCATCCGTTACATAAAAAAATATGAAACTCAAAAGGATAACTACAACACAAGGAAAACATATGGTTTATTGATATGCTCAATTTGACAGGTATCATTGGTAATGTCTCATTTCAGCAAACTGGATGATAGGATAACTTATACTTGCTTGGATTTGAATTCTGGATGACTGCTTCGACAAGTAGATACTTGTGAATTGGTAACTGTAACTGCTGACATAATCATTAACGTCTCAGTATTTCGACTAGGAAGGTAGTTTTTCATGAAATAATTGATAATAAAAGCAGTTGCTAGTGTGACCTTTAAAGTCACTCATTACTTTCACATATCATTTCATAATTAATGGTAGGCATCACATATTTTTGATGAAGTTTATTTGAAAACGAGTCATGAAGTAAATTTTTGAAAAATTCCATCGATGGAAAAACATCATTTCTGTTCTTATGAACAAATGGTACTTTTCATCCAATGTGGGTGACGAGTTTTAAATTTTTACATATATAGAGAGTGGTGAAGCAACGGGGAACAAAACTCCTACACCTAATACACCGGTATTTAGTAAAAATTGATAATTACTGTTTTCCGAACCAACGTAGATTTGTATACTAAGTTATGCATCACGAAAATTGTGTGACGGCTTATCATGCAGTATCGCGCATTAGACTGATTACAATGGGTATGTGTCTGCGCTTGAACTTTAAACCGAATAAGCAATAGTTGCATACTAACACTGCAGAGCCTCAGCTCCAAATGGCCAATAGCTTGCTACATTTCGTGAATTAACATTGCGTTGCAGTTACCTAGCTAATGGATAGTAGTAACAAGTAGGTAGGTCTCAAGTACGACTATGCTGGCCGTCGTGCTATTAAATAATATACCGAATACTTTCTCCCGGGATTTAATCGAATACATGCATATCTACATGATGGTGGTATAACTGATAAAAAAGCCGAACGATGCATAGTTGAAGTACATGTGAACATTTAAAGGAGAAAATCATCGACAAATACCGGGTAAGAAGAAAACTACCAGGTAGATAAATACAGCGTAACAGTCTATCTAATTTAATATAAAAAATAACAATAATATAAAAATACCTTAAGGCTATATTATTCACTAAGTATTATTAGGTATACATGAAACAAGCTTTACTGTGAAAAAAATAATATAAAAGGAAGTAAGTATCTGTCACATTATACAAACATATATATATATATATATATATATATATATATATATATATATATATAATAATAATTAAACTCGTAATTCCTCTTAGTTTCAGACTTACCATTCCACCAGAATTACATTCTTGTAGCCAGTGTATAAATGCACTACCAATATTGATTTTATCCTTAATGATGGAAGATAAAACCTTTTATAAGAGATTGGATTCGGATGATTTTCATTCACCTGAGCATTATTCAGTAAAAAAGAAAATTCAGTGTGAATTAACAAGAAATATTTCCAATGTGAGTACGATAGTTTTACTACCTTTTCGGAGAGAGGACCTGTGAATATTAACGTTATCAGTAGTTTAAGGCTATGCTGCTTGATGAGATGTGGGGAAATACTGGTTAATAGATGTCATGATGGCAAACTGTGGCACCACTAAAAATTCACCTTTCATCACATACAAGTGTTTGAAATTTACGGCTACATTTTTATTGAGCTCAAACTGCGAAAATATATGGTTCCAATAGATATGTGTTCTACTGAATGAACAACTGACCTGAAACAATATAGATGCCGTGCAGTGATTCAATTTGCATGGTTTTAATTCACTTAATGAAGGGGTGAATAAAATGTTTTCAAAAAAAAAACAGCAAGCGGTGTTTGGATTAATATGTTGTATTCAGATTGTACAACTTAGCCAGTGTGTAAATAACATCTACTCTGCTTCAGATAACATAACGTTTTCAACCCTAGAATCTAGTTCTTCCATCAGCGAAACTCGGCAGACCCATAATAAACGCAACTGATATAGCGTTTCTGAACAGTAGATGAATACAAACTGAGGATAAACAAATGTTTGATGAACAATTTAATATCAGAGATCAAAACAGCTGACAAAATAATTAAGTTTATTCGTACTGGTGTTAAAATCAGTCACTGTTAGGTAGTAAATGAAGGATAACTACCAACTTAGTTAATCAGTTCACACCAAAAAATGTAAAACTATTTTTCTTCTTGTTAAATCCTAACTGGAAATGCTATATCACGAAGATACTCTTTATCTAGTGCTTTCTATACCGACCCCATCTCACACCCATTCCCTACACAGGCACACTACCTTGGTCACAAAATTAATATTGCTTTTCTACCACAAACAGTGTACTATGCTTAGTACTAATCTATTTTCATATCCTTTATGATAAAAAGTGCTAAGAGAGTTTTATTAGGTGAACTGTAAAACAGAGGGAACTTTCTGACTTCTGGAATGATTCTTATTTACCAGAATGATGACTGAAGGCGAAAAAACAAATGCAGCTATGACAGGATACAAAAATCAACAAACTATGATATAGACCGAATAGTATTGTTTCATACCCGATGTAAGCGTTTCATGAACTCGAGTGCTTGACGGATACTTTCTTCCTTTACTTTACGCTGAAAAAAATGATTAAAAATTGCATAAGTCAACATATATATACGAACATCAAAGTAAAATCAAGAAAATATGAAAAAAACACCAATAACTGTATGAGTACGCAGATAATATAGTTCTATCAGATGAGGACGCTGACAAGATGCAGAGTCTTCTGGACACATTGAGTGGGAATTTAAGAATGTTTTGAGATGCGTTTCTCGCCACCCAAATGCAAATTGTTGCTCCACAATTGATCTGCAGCGGTGCGCCCGCTAACAATACACAGTGAAGTGTTTGAGAGCGTTGAACACTTCACTTACCTGGGAAGTTAGAACAGCCTTGGTGGGTCAGTGGTGGACGAAATCTATAAACAGTTAGAAGGGCTCAATCGGCTTTCTCCAACTTGCTCCATCTCTGGCACCGCCACGATACCTGACTGCCTATTAACAGTATAGTGTACTGCGCTGCAGTTCACTCTGTTCTACTGTACGGTTGTGAAACACGGCTGTTGAAGGTATTCAGTTTTTGACCACCGTTGCCGTCGAGGCACAGGAGACGTGTTGTGGCGTCATCGTGTCAGTAACGCAGAATTCAGGTATGGAGTTTTACGGGGAGAGGAAAGTCAGTTGATAAGGTCGTGAACGTTAATTGACTAAGATGGTTGAGAAAAGTGTTACGCATACCTAGCCACCGTCTGCCTCATCGCGCGATCTCAGTTGAAGTAGATTCAGGTTAGAAAAAGTGTGGGGGCAGCCAGACTAAAACATAGCATCAATGCATGAAGTCCTTGACTCTTGGTTTGAACTATGTTGGGAAACGCGGATTAGCCGACTGCGGTCCATGTGACAACAGAAACCAGTGGTTGAAGACTCCTGGTGATATGGTTGAGAATCGATGTAAGTGGCCCAAATGTACCCACATTTAATCTTCAACTGAACCGCTATACTTAATCTGATCATTTTCTTACTCATCCTTCCTCTCTGATACTACTTTCTACTTCTTTTGGCAGATTTTTCCTTCTTTTTGAACTTTCATCTTATCACTTTGTTACTTGTGGTACTGAAAAGGGGTGAGGCAACTTGTACCGCTAGGCAGTATTGCCTAGTCTTATGTTGATATCGGTTGACTGAATTATCTAAAAAAGGTAGTTAAGGTGATGCTGATAAGACTTGTATAAAAATATGTATAATGACTGTCAGACAAACAAACAGACTAATGAAGAACTTCATACGCATTATTATTGCATCATGTAATTAGCAACTTGTACAAGTTTGTCCACTCATTTATTCGTCAAACTTATTCTTAGGGCTGATTACAACACCTGGTTTAAATAAACATCATATGTAGTAAGGTAGTATCAACGACTCCAGGAAGCGTGTCCCACTCTATTTGAAGCTAACAAGCCGGATATACTTGCGCTCTTAATCAAAATCTAACCATGCACCAACCACTCCAGTCGGTAAACTGCCATTCGCTAAACTACTGAGTAGAAATGTGGTACGGACATATCTCTCACTGCGTGTGACCTCGCAGTATATCACACTGAGTCATTAAATTATACACTTCGAATTTCAACCAGTAGACTAGTATCTTTTTAGGCAGTGCAAAAAGATAATTATACAGCTGACCGACTGACTACCCTTAGGCTCATTTCAAAAAAACAAACTCAGAAGCAACTAAAACAGTCTTATTGATACAACACTAAAGTTAAATGCCAAATTAAATGGGTTGCAGAAAACCAGACAGAAATATGTACAGCTTAACACTAAAACACCAGTCTCATGTGCAACAAGTCACATAACAAAGTTCATTCATACTTTTAGGTTGTCTTAATATAGTGGAAAGAGCTGAAATGTTTCAACTTTCAAACAGAATCACTTTTTCAGTTGGAGCTCTGGTTAAACTAAAGTTTGGTCAGTACTTTACAGATATAATAATTGACTATCAGAGTGAAATCGTCGACTGATTACTACTAGTTGGACGACGAAACACAACCTCAGTCAGGTTGTAAACAAACATTAAACTGTGTAATTCAACCTGTATACTACTCTACAAACGTCTAGATGGAAATGATATTGACTAATGCTTTGGTGTATATCTGACAATTTGAATACTTTTCAGGTTTATGTTGTTCAACAGACACAGAGATGTTGACGTCAGCTTAGGCACTGGCTTCACAAGGAAAGTCCACTGCAGTTACAATCTATACCTATACAGAAAGCTCTTCTTAAGAAAAGCGAAAATTAGAGGCTGTTAGTTGACTTGAAATCTTTCTAAACTGGACTTAAATTATTTCCTATTATATGGAAACCGGAAAGAGTGAATAGCTACAAAAGAATCATCACCCAGTTCACTTACCTGACTGTCAACTGTTGCTGGTTGCATATCCAGTATGTATGAGATTAAATTGTTCAGATTCTGTATGCGCGTACAATAGGAAAGAAGGAAAATAAAACACAATATAACAAGAAACATTTTAGAGAAAAACAGATGTAGGATCCACTACGCTACTGATTAAGTCCCATCTCTACGCTCATGACTACGAATTAATAAAAATAGCTTTACGATTAACCAAATAATAAGTGTCAATTACTATTTTCAAGTAGCTCAGTGGAATACACTAAGAAACACTAATGAGAAGGAGAAAGTACAACATTGGTATTTGAATGGATCGATGTGACTAAAATTTCTATTGTTTCCTAAGCAAACTCAGCTAATTACTTCCAAGAGTCATGGTGACAATTTGACATGAGCAACAGTTTTGTAAGACAAGAACGAAAGTACAAGGCTAAAACGTTACTGACTTACTTTCTAGTTTTTATTTCCAGACTGTTTTATCGTCAGTCTGAATTATTACCATTATTCGGTTGTTTTTCATCATCGAATTCATTGTGCTCACTAGATCGCCGTCTCACGTTATTTTATCTTCTTCTCCTTTTCAGATTGTTTTACTGGGTGAGTGGATTGGAATCAACAAACTTACTAACACTCTTCTGCCCCCCACCTCCTTTACAACAGCTTACCCGCAAGCTACACGGAAACTAATAAAACAGCTGGTAGTCACAATTTTAACTTTAAAACATCTCAGCAGTCCATTTCACGTTTACATCACTTTAGTAATATGCACAAATAATTACCTAACAAGCAGTACCGACAATCATTTCGAAGAGTTCATATGCTTTGCATATAGTATCCACGTTTTCAGTGACTCCTGAAGTGACACATATATATATGACGGACTAAACACAAGCAATACAGAAGATTTCTACCGCATATTATAAATCATATATGGCTAATCATTATAATCATATATAACTTAGGTGATATGGTATATTTTAGGATTGCTGGCTATAAATGATATCGACGTGTAGATGAAGAAACTATGTAAGACGCAGTCAGAAATGCACTACTTAAACAATAAAAAAACTCGTATGTCTTCTCACGATCATATTTTATATGATACAAGGTATAAGATAAGGTCTGTATATTTACTCTCTTTATCAACGTTAGTAACAACAAACTTCATTTATTTTGCTACTGGGGCTAAATACTTGACTACAGGCAAATGATTTAGCTTCGTTTTTGTCATCAGCATTCGACTGTACCATACTACCTTTAGATATGGTAAATGTTTCACGGCTATAAGATAAAGGTTTATATGATAACTTTGGTGCTGAATCAGAAATCTTACTTCGTTTATTCAGCCAACTGAAATTAAGCTCTGTGTTTAGTACAATTATTACCACTTTCAACTTGCACTACTTAATAGATAACGAGTAGTCAAAATAGTTTCGCATAGATGCATAAGAGCAGTTAAACATAGTTTTCAACCTACAACGTACGAAAACAGTTGTTCCGTCGTCATATCATGCTGGTATGCATACTAAGACCTGAACAATGAAGGGTGATATCCAATCAGCTTTATTCACGTTGCAGAAACCATAAAAGAGGTTAATGTTCTGCGAAATGAAAAAACAAGGACAGTTCCATAGCCATTGATAAAATTAAACAAATTATTAAAAACATACAACCTAAAAGAGGACAGGAATAAGATATTTCCACTGATGGGTAAAACACATACCAGAACTAGTTTCTTCAGATAGCGTGGTTGCATTTTTGTAAGCCATTGGTCTGGAAAAAAATCAAGCACGTATAATGAGAAGAATTTCCAGAAGAATGTCTGACGTTGATAATCACACGTGAAGATAACTCCGATCACGGAAGTAAAATTTACCATGCCTCAAGAACCTATCAAATTTAAGACGATGGTATACATCAGCTTTCAGGTAAAATGTCAAAGTTTTGAACTTGACAACCACCTCATTTTCAATTATTTTCTGAGTAACATCAGTTTTGACGAGTTTTACAGATGGAGATGTTGTTTGCCCTATACATTGGATTTAGGAATAACATTTGCCAGATATATAGATAAAGAATAGGTGAAGATATAAATAAGCACAGAAAATATGCATGCATAATAGCCTCCTCAACTTGTAGGTATTCTACACAACGTCAGTACTAACTGCATTCTATCGCTACCTACACACAAGTGACATGCTTACATGTACTTGAATAGCTAGCATCAGAAATCAATAACATCAGGAATTGATAATATACCTTGGAATAACACTGCCAAAACTCCTCTTATTCTGCGACTCTAGACAACGTCATAAATGGAAACAGGAAATGATTCACAGTGTATAACATATTCTCAAGGCACATTAATGGATAAAGGATTACAGTTATAATGATTGGGTTATCTTTGTTATGTAGAAGACTCCAACTAAATTAAACATTCGTCTATTACTAGTTCCATCGCAAGTAATCACTGCAGTGCACGTAGCATGATAAGAACCTGTAGCTCTCCAGTTAGATAATAAGATGGCATTCACAGATATGCGGTCTACTCACCTTTTCCAATTACGTTTTCAACAATGTGGTGCAAGCTTACGTACTAAATTATCAATCGCATTTGATGCGTCGAATATGCTTACAAGAATGCTATTGGGAATAAGTAGAGTCAAGAAATGAAGTAATTCCAAAACAATTGGGTAAATAAATGAAGTCTTATCAGTTAAACTGAGACAAACAAATCGGACAGTAGTCAAATGTATAATACACGTTATAAAGAAAAAATTTACACAGCTTTACTTCTCAATTTTTAAAAAGAAAATAGGAAATTACCGAAAATTTTCGAAGGGGCTGAATCAAGTCTGTTGATAGCCACAGAATAGGCATTTAAAACCAAACCTGGAGTAGAGAAACCAGCACTTAAAACAGGATATGTTTTCCACATCTGTATCAGTTCCATAGATTACATCCACTCTATTCAGTGCGCTAATTGTATCATCATCAATTGGTTTTCGAGGTATATTCATGAGATCAGATACAGCCAGAAAAAACAAACCTCGAAGACATTCAATGCTTGGATAGTTATTACGTGATGTAGATAATACATTGTCTATAAGTTTATTGATTAGACGTCGTAGATCTCGTTTAGGTAAAAGATAGAAAATTTGAGACTGCAATTTGTGTGCAAGGTCTAAATCCACACCATGCGCTTCTCTGCCTGTTCGGAAATGATTATTTTGCTCGCTTAATAAAATAAAATGAGATGTAAATAGAGACGGAATTTTATATATATATATATATATATATATATATATATATATATATATATATATATATATATATATATATATATATATATATATAAATTAAATAACGCAAAAGGTCCTTGCTCCACCTTGATTAGTGTTTTTGGAAAATCGTTTATAAGAGTTGGGTTTTAACCAGATTCTGCTAAATTGGATTATGCTGTTTCGCAGGCTGAAATTGTCCTGATATATTGAAAATGGAACATGTTTTAAATGAGTGAAACATTTGAATCCCCCTTGTCTAGATGGTGAAATATGCATAACAACCAGACAATTTTCGAACCATTCATATCTTTCAGACGTAAATAATTCAGATCATTCTGTATATTGTTTGAGCAATGTTTGTGAGAACCTAGTGATAGACCACCACTATATACATAATAACCGGTTGAGCTTTAACTTCATCAACCTTATTAGTTAAATCGTATCCATTAGATAGCAATTTCATCATTCATTTGTAGCACTCTAGATAAATATGTAAATACACCAGATCATGCTTACTTTATGGCTGACTGACATCCAAACAAACTATAGGGTGATTAAATGTGCTAGGACATTGCTTTCCCACTAATCAAGTACATGTCTGCTAGGGTTGTATACTCGCTTTTCATTCCAGAGTGATTCCTGTTGCTTACTTAGGAGTAACTTGAGGTGAACACTGTGGGAATTAAGCAGAATCGCACATTTAGCATAGTCCCTTCAACTGATAATCTTGATAGTGAGTTTTAAACTTGGGTAATTGTTTAAACCATTTCTAATCGCTTCTCAAACTATAAAAACCAAAATACTAGTGTAGAGGGATTGACACATTGAAGTTGATCACTAATCCTTCATTAATTTAATTAATTTTCCCTTGGGTTCCTAGTGTAACATAGGGTTTCAGTAGCACGCCTTCATTGCAATCTGTTCTCTGAAGTCTTTTGAACCTCGTTCGCTCCTAATGCTTTATTATTCGGATGTAATTTAAAATATATTACCGCTTATAAATATTAGTACAGCAGCATAGTGAAAAACTACTAACTACACATCGCATCATCGCTAAACATTCAATACAATCACTATTTATAACGCAGGTACGAGTTGAAGGGACTATACTAGGTGTGCATTTATGATTGACTTCAAGAATGGTCAAGTGACGAGATAAAAACTATAATTAAACAGTAGAAGCAACCATGAGATCAAGCTAACCACATTAGTAATTGACATATGTATGGCTAGCTTGAAACGTACTATCTAAGGAACAGGCGATTTTGCCTCAAGTTTAAAATGGACCCTCTCCATAATCGTTTAGATTTGTCACACATGTTTTCGTTTCCGCACCCCAGACGATTTCTCAATCGGTTAATGAGTGCTCAAAAGCTATGGTCTTAATATGCAACGACGCAAACTAGATGTAGTCATCCAGACACAACAAGTAAAAATCGAGAACGTCTGGAACGCATTTTTCATCCAACACTAACTGACCACTTCACTCAACTTAGAAATAAGACCAGACCCACCAGCAAAGACTCGATTGCTCTTTCTCAACTCATATCAATAACAGGACGACGAGATATCCGATTGCACAATGGACAACATCGCAATGTGCTCAAATTTATTATTGTGAAACATGATCATTCAAGGTAAAGCGAAACGTGAAGGCTTAAAATGTTCGACGTCATTCAAAGCACCAGTCATAAGTGAAAAGAAGCGATCATGTGAGTAACACAGAAGTGAACCATGGAGTCTTGCAAATACCCAATCATCGTCTAATCAAAAAGTGCAGTGATATTTGAAATAGGGTTAGGTTGTAAAAGAAAAAAAACATAACTAGACTAAATAGTTCACAGATGTGTAGAAAATATAGATCTCCTAGTTGGGCTTCATGTGACAATGGGAATCCATAGTCATCATGATAATATAGCTCAGAATCGATCCCAGTAGTACTCGTGCATTCATATTTAACTTCATATCAGCTGTTATACTATATATTTAAAACCGCCTTCTTTTCATCCTACGGATTTCAATGAATTCATATGATACTGCTTTTACTTTTGAACTTTCGTCTGGCTGACTTGTATCCTGATGGTGGTAAGTGTAGCAACTTGGATTACTATACAGTAATCCAAAGTTCCATTTTGATATTCATGAGAAATTGTTTCAACCAAATAAAATGATGCAAAATCTTTTCAGCTTAAAATGAAGGTGATGGCGGTGATGAAACATCCATGGAAAAACATCAAAGCTCAGAAAAAAATGAACCATCATTATTGTTGAAAACACATTTAAGTAGATTTTATGCAAATACAACTATGAAAATGTTAGACTGTAAAACAAAAAGATCAAACAGGTATTTGCAAAAAAACTCTATACTTGTATCACTAACTAGACTCTAGTTTGGTCTGTCCGAAATCGCATTAAATAGACTTCGAAAAATATCCGTGTAACCTACTTAGATGATTAACCAGCAGACCAGAAAGTCTATGTCAAGAAATACGAAACAAAAGAAACCTTATCGTACAATAATAACTCAAATATGAGGTACGGCAACTTGAACAGTTGAGCAGTTCTGATAAGTTCCATGTTAATACTAATGAACTATCTAACTGACTCGAAAGTTAGCAAGAAGGATGCTGCTATTAACGGCGAAATCGAAATAAATAGTTGAGATAATTTACTGGTAACAGTACACACGGAAAATTAAACACCATGTTTTTCCTCATACGAAAAAGGAATATCAGAAATCCTACATGACTAAGATATATAACAATGCATGTTTTGATGCTGATATGGCGTGGTTAACAATGGACTACACAACTGGTAAGAGAACAAAAAGTACTGTATTCGACCTCATTAAAAATTGAAAGTTTGTACATCTATGGATTTCTAAACTGAGGTTAAACGGCTGCACAGTGCTCTCTGGTCTTGAATACTCTAACAACTGATTTGAATCCGTGATGAAAACATAAATTAAGTCAAACACTCCGGAAAAATCCTTCTGATTCAAAAATACTTGTTGGCTAAGTTAAAAAATAAAATGTTTACCCTTCTTGAAGACAACTCGCTGATAAGCAGCCTAGAGAAGAAAATACAGCTTCAATTTGCGCTACGATTGCCATTGGTTCATTACTTGTAGAGTTGAGAGAAGGTGTCAATGAACGTGATGAAGAAAGAGATGCAGACCGAGAAACTGGAGCTGGGAGAGGCAGAGCAGTCAAAGCATTTCGAAGTTGTTCCACTATCTCAGGACAAATAGTCACTATAGATTGAAGTGACAAACGATTCCAATTGCGTAAGTCATCTGGATCAACTTTTTCTCCAGTCTGAAATGAGAAAAATGAATGATTCGTAATTTTTTTAAATAATTCAGTTAACAACATCAAAGACGGAATAATCTACTTCGTATGTATGTAAAACAAACTGATTAAGTCGTACGACTTGGTATACTGGGATAACTTCAGCAAGGTGGATTAACATCGAGAACAAAAAAATAAGACAAAAGATTAACATTTCCGAAGTAAGAGTGACATTACTAGGTGTACAAAGAAATAATTACAGCGTGAAAAATAAATACAATTCATATCATCAGACCATTAAGCATACGTTTCCCGCTTAAAACAGAAAGTAGTATGCGTAGCAAATGAGTTTCCATTACTCTACGTGTTTACTTAGAATGTTATTTAGTTATAGTTGTAACGCCAGTAGGTGAAAGCTGATGAAAACATCAGGGGAGGAGCCACTTACGCAACACAAACAATTAAGTAACTTTATCTGTATACACTAAGGTGATGGAAGTTCGAAGTAAAAAACAGCAGTTAAACCAGCTTGAAATGCAAGAGGCTGAAAAGATGAATAAACCGAGGGAATTTCTATGAAAAAGTCATGTTTCGGTGACGAACTGAAACTTCTCCACTGATAACGACTCTTGTAACCACTGCATACTTGAATCTTAATCTGTCAACTACAGGATATGATTTTGTTAATCTAAATCAACTGTTGTAGACTACTATAATGCTGAAAGAAACTGAATCGTTTAGATGAAGACTTGTAAAAACATGATCACCTTTACATCTTGCTAGTTACTCTATACACACGTCAATCAATAATCCATGCTTACACAAACTTGACGGCACAGTGTTCACTTTTTGATACTACATTTTTAGCCTACTCTTTCAACAGCGTCAGTTCGCTGTCATTGTAGTCAATTTGAGATTCTCGGTTAAATGATAACCAACCATCCTGTTTGGGTTTTCTGCATACAAGTATTGAGCTCTCAAAACAGGAATCATTTCCGCAAGTAAAAAATTATTGCGCAATATCCAATGGTCTATCTTTATCTAAGTTGCATACAACCGTTGTGAAATCAGTGGGGGGAAAATGAATCCAACCCATTCTATGAATACTCTTCCAGTTGGATTTTATTTAAATAGCATAGAAATGAAATAAACAAAAGTATATATGACAGGACCTCAAGTTCTCACTAAAGACTGATAAGCGTGATGAATAGTTTCTGCGATCTGCAGTTATAAGACGCGTATGTAAAGATAAAGAAGAGCAAACCCAAGAAACTCAGGAAAGTTTCAGACTTGATCGAGGGTGTATTGATCACATCACTCCTTAGCAGGTCTTGGAGCACCGGCATACTCACCGACACCCGACACTAGCTGCATTTCTTGACCTGAACGCACCATTGATCGAAAGGTCACATGGCAGTGTCTCTCAATGATAAAACGAGCCGTGCTGACTGGAGCGCTTCTTCCCTCGAGGTTCTACCATACCATAAATGTCAGATGGATAGTGTTAAAACAAAAAGCAGTTACTACTATAGTGTGAATAGCTACGCTATGATCGGGTAAGAGGACGAAATCGTAATGTTGACTCGGCGGAGGTGTGACTGTAGTGTTTCCAGTAACACTGCTACCTTCTTTTCCCATGAGAAGGAGAAGGGGAGAAAACGTTTGGCTAAAAATAGTACACATCTCCTACCGTGAGGTATTCCATTATCGGTGGCGTGAAACACTGGAATTTCAAATTCATAAAGACTGTGGAAGATGCCTCAAGCAGATGTCCCTTCGACTCCGCCGTCATGCATTAAGTATTAAGGCAGTAAATGGACTACTCAACTGGATCCCATTTGAGTCACCTGTCCACATTGCGACCGAGTGGTGTCGTAATAACCAAAAGGAATAGCAAAACTCCTTGTAATCTCTCCTTACTCCCTTACTACTGCTGGCTGCAAACTGGATGAAGCAAAAGATGAGTTCAGTCGAAAATTCGCTAGCCTCCTAATGAAAGTCATACGTTTAAAATTGGTTATCGTAGCAGGTGATTACAATGCACAATTGGGTAGGCTAAGACAGCCAGAAAGCTACTCAAGTGTCACTTTCGGAATCCTAGCCGAAAGAACAATAATCGACTGCTACAACTGTATTCGGACAACCAACTGTGTTTGGCCAACGTAAACTTCAGGCAAAAAGAGAGATTGCCCGATATAGCGTCTACTAATTTCAACTCAGATAGGCTATATAGCTGTCAGTTAACCTTAGAGAGGGTCAGCAGATTTCCTCTCCTTCTGGAGCATACATTTGGACCACAACACCCATTGAAGCACAACTCAACGACGAGAACATCAAGGGTGCCTCCAGCGAGAAACTGGCTACACACTTATCGCAATAGAACAGCATCACTCATCCCAAAGAAACCGAGAACCGTCTCTAGTCTACTGTAAAAGCAGCGTTCAAGACCTTAAATGGCTCAAAGGGAGTGGTTAGGAAGTGCCAGTACATCTCAACAGCTTCTTCTGAACTAATGGATGCACAAAAATGCATCCACTGAGGGCTAATAGCACAACGAGAGGCAGAAAATATTGAAATATACATTGACAAGAAGTCGATAGAATGGCTACGAAAAGTGGTGGGTAGCGAAAGCTAAAGAGATAGAAAAGGCAGCGGTGATAAGAAACGGTTGAAAACTATTCAGACTTGTCAAGAAAACTAGTACAAGAAGGTCAGCGATCAACAAGATCACAGTAGAGAAAGATGTGTCTGCAATTCATTCCCAGGAGAGATGACCGGAACGATGAATGCAACACTGTGAAGAACAGTCCAGCTAGCCTCCAGCGACCACCCATTTGATCCGGAATGGAACACTGAGATAGGAGCTCCAACAATTACAGAAGTCGACAAAGCTGAAATGAGGAAGGGTGGGATGGCCTAATGGATTAGCATTGGAACTATTGGTCAGGATAACTGAAATGTTAGATATGATCCCAGCTGACTGGTCTGAATCACTGGTTGTGGAAGTTCTGAAGAAAGGCGAGAAACGCTCTAGTGATAACCATAAGGGATATGCACCTGGATGAACATGGCATCTACGATTTTAGGCACCATAATTATCAGATAGACAGAATTAAGTGGAAGCACTTCACAGTAGCATGCAAAGAATAAGTGGATAGAAAAAGGACGACTTCAAATAGGATAAATGTGTACAGGAAGAGAAGGAATTTTAAACTGGTTAGTCTAAACACTCAAGCATTTCAAGACATGAGAGGGTGCTTACATTGTTTCCATTGACTGATTTCCAGTTATTTCATAAAAAAGCTCTCAAGTATTGATTCCTAACATCTCAGGAACCGTAACCAGGTAGTCTACACCAATCTGTCTATAAACATCAGACCAATAATCAGACACCTGATGAACTGATTCCACGTTCTAGTTTGGACACCTTGTACCTTCTTCGGATTCAATCCGGATTTTCCCAGCATTGCATCTCGAAGAACGTGGTGGCTCGGTGTGCGCAATACATGTTCAGACCACCTCAGGTACTGAAGGTTCAGAACATCATCTACTGACTTGGTCAGCTAGTATCCATCCCCTAACATTGACATGGTTTACGTAGTGGTTCCGCCAAAAACAAGTGATGCTATGAAATAGCTTCTGTTCCATAAACAGTCGTAGGGCGTAGATTCGATCGACGTACCATCGTCGAGGTCCGAGACCTGCTTGGTTATCTCGAGCTTTAATTACGCGTCAGAAAACTATGGACCTAAAAATTTTCGCAATGGTGTATTTTAGACTGATTTCCCTCTAGCTGTCATGAGAACACTTCTTTCCTTTTTTTTACAAACTTAAATAATCAATGAAATAGACCAGTGTAACTGGACTACCTCTGATTCACATGCATTGCCTAGTACCTCTATTACTCTATTCGGTAATTTCCTACATCCATCCTTTTAGAAAAATTAAGGTTTCAAACTATCGGATTTTGCTGCTTTACATTAGTTTAGACCACAAACAACCTTCTCAACTCCAAGGACACTTGGAGAACAGAAATCTACATCAAATTCAGGTTCACGTTGGATGCTAGGCAATAAAAGCTGGGCTATGGGCCAGTTAGACTTCTCTCCCGTACTCCGACTGAAATTCTGGCCGCCTGTCCTGAAAAGTTGTCATCATCCTATACTTTTCGGTGACGGTCTCATTCACCATCGTCTTCTTTTAGCCGGTATCCTAAGTAAGTAAAATGCTAATGTATTCCCCATCCACCAGTCCTCGTCACCATTGTGAAGACTCTTACTCGGATTATGTTTCAGTTGATTTTGCTCTTCACTGCGGTTAGAGTCAGCTGAAATGAGACTTCACGTATAAATCAGTAAGGATGACGTTGCGGAAACCCCCATTGATGCTTGCCAACTGTTTCTACGACACATGGAATATCATACCGGGCTTCCTCAGGATAAGCATTGCTGTCACGTTCAGGCAATAACTTAGCTATCTCCAGACATTCAAATGTCCGGACTAAGGCGTGACCGGAGTCCAAACACGTACTCCAGAAAAAAGGGCAATTCTCCACCGACTCTCATCAATGATGGCTTATAATAATTGGCTTGGCGCGATGTGAAACAGTATGTTTTTATGCTTGATTCTGCTGCTGGTGAGAAACGAATGATTTTCCGAACAAAATGGCAACAGACGATCATCGCTGTTAGCTCGTTGACGTCGGAATCCATAAAACCTTTAACATACCTTTACGATTGTCTCAGGTTCCCTACTTGAGCGGTTAAGTCGCCTGCAATTATGGTCATATCTGGAAGTTTAGCTTTCTGCAGCAAAATCAACAGATTTAGAAAGAATTAATTCTTTGCATCAGCTGAAGTGCAGTCAGTGGGGCATAGACAGAGACTGAGAATGATGAATGATCACGAGATTTGGCGGTGCCTATTGATAAAGGTCTATTTAGTCACAGTTCGCAGATTACTGTTGACTGGTATCCAGTCGGGAAACAAGCTTTCCGCTCGACAACAATCCTACAGCTACATCAGCGA